AATCGTTGTCGGATTCCTTTTAATTGTGATGTGGATAATTGCATGTTTATCCAAACGGATCGTGAACGTGTTCGCGTGTCGAACCCGTTCCTCGCCAATATATACATTACTTATTGGCCGTGCATGATAGAGAACAAGCTGGACATCTGCTTGTGTCTCTGACTCATCATGTGACATCTACGACATGCCTGACATCAAAACATTTTAAAGGCAAAAAGGGAATAAGGGAGAAAACAAGGGAAAAAACGGTTGAATGCTGGACGAAACGTCCCTTGTTCCCTCAAATGCTCCCTCGTTCCCGAACTTCTCGTCAGCAGTGATATTTGCATCGCATTATTATTGCGTCTCCAACCGCTCGGGCTGATCGTTTTGTTTTCACACACACACCTCACAACTTACATTATGAAATTCTTTACACCAACCAATACACCAACTAGACCAAACATCAACATGACCAACACTATTATCAACTACATCAACTACATCACTACCATCATCGTCAATCAAGAATACATCATTCAAGCAGGCATCAGCTTCTTTCGATTGCCTGTTCGGATGCCTTTGATCGTCACTCAAACCGTTCGAGAAACCATCGCAGCCGGTTTGGTTTGTGCGACGGCGCTCTTGTTACTTTGGTACATGGCGCTCGACCTATACCGAAGCTATCAAGGACTTTGCGAGCAACGGAGCTGCAACCGACAACAGCCTCCTGTTTCCATTCTTCGTCGTCCAGGAGGAGGGTCGTCTCATCGCAAGAAAAACCGAAGTTGGTTTGGTGTGTTCACCAGAAAACCAAACCGTGTCCGTTTTGCCAAAATCTTTCGTCGAACCTTTGTCCCAAACAAGCAAGAGCTACAATCTCGCAGGGAATGCTGGGGTCTGATTCAATGGCGCATTCAACTTCACGACAAAGTAATTCCAGAGATAGAGAACACAGTGAGATTCGTTCCACATACGCCTGTGTCCATTCTTTGTCCTTCAAGAAAAGATTGGGGATCACCCAAACCAACCTCATCAAACAGAGTCCAATTTGCCCCTAAGACTCGAAGGAGAAACTTTATTCCCGACGAGGAAGAGCTGAAGTCCCGAAGACAGCTAATTCATCAAATTGACTGCAAGGTCAAGAGACGGAATGCCCAACGCTTGATGATCGATTTCAAACCTACCGTGCTTGCCACCATTATCGAAGATCCAGCAGACGAAGATTTGAGTGACATTGACTCGTCTTTGGATACTGGATTTATTGATGGCAATGTCGACTCTGAAACCATTGCAATTGCGCTCGAGAACCACCGACAACTGCTTCGAACCGTCCTTGATGACATGCTCTCCAATATTCCCGTACCAATGGATTTGGATGATGACGGCAACATCGAGCCCAATGACATGCAAGACGAAGCACCACGATTGTCACTCAAGAGAACTGCAACTTGCTCCCTTGTTTCCTCCCGGCCCACCAAGCGTCGCAAATTGAATTCATCTACGGTTCCAACTTCTGCTACAGAATGGGCCGAAAGAATCAATGAACGATTCACTCCTTTGCTACCTGTCATCATTGAAGATCCAGAAGAAGAAGACATCATCATGAGTACTTTTGACTCGTCTTTGGATGCTGGATTGATTGATGACAACAGCGACTCTGACGTTGAAAGCTTCGCCAAAGGAGACGACGAGGTTTTCTTCCCCATGAACGACGAGGAACAGGATTGGGACAGTCTGGAATATGTAGACTGCAACAGTCTGGAACACGCTCCACCTACATCTACGCCAACTACAGCACCTGTTTCCATTCTTCGTCCTACAAGAAAAGATTGGAAATCACCGAGAACCACCAATCGTGTCAGTTTCACCCTGACCAATCGGAGAAGAAACTTCATGCCAGACCCGGAAGATATTCAATCCAGAAAGAATCGAATTCGAGACATTTACAGTCAGATCAGATATCATGAACTATGCAAGTGTTTTGAAGAACGAGTGCTTCCCCAGCTGCACAGTACTGTGATGGCCAAGGGGAAGGCCAAGAGAAAGGCCAAGAAAAAGGCCAAGAAAAAGGTCAATCGAAAGATTGATTTCAAACCTACCCTTCCTGTCATTACTGAAGATCCAGAAGAAGAAGACAAGAACCACTTTGACTCGTCTTTGGATGCTGGATTAATTGATGAAGACATTGATTCGGAAGGTCCAAGCTTTGCACTTGCGCTTGAGAATCACCACCAAATGCTTCGCACAACCGTCCTTCCTGATATGCTCTCCAATATTCCCGTACCAATGGATTTGGATGATGACGACAACGTCGAGCCCAATGACATGCAAGATGAAGCACCACAACTGTCACTCAAGAGAACCGCAACTTACTGCCTTGTTGCATCCAGGCCCACCAAGCGTCGCAAATTGAATTCATCTTCGGTTCCAACTTCTGCTACAGAATGGGCCAAACAAATCAATGAACGATTCACTCCTTTGCTACCTGTCATTTTTGAAGATCCAGAAGAAGAAGAAGAACAAGACAACTTTAGCGATATTGAATCGTCTTTGGATGCTGGATTGATTGATGACGGCATTGATTCTGCCGAGGATCCTTTGGAGGATACTATCATCGATGACAACATTCCGGTACCACCACCAGAGGAATCTGACAACGCAGCTACTATTGATATTCCTTCTGATGGGATGGGATCGGGATGGACCGAGTCTGGAAAGCGCTACAGCCTTCGACGGGCCAAGCTTCTGATTCCACATGCAGAGGATACTTTCACCGAAGCTTTGGGATCTGGCATGACGGAACAAGGAAGACGATACAGTCGCCGAGTGGCAAATCGACGAAACTGTGCCAATTAAAAAGTACATTCTTGGTACGACTTTGAAATAGATGAAGGATGATAATAGTGTGCGACAACACACGAACAACCCATCAAACAGCTTAATGGAAATTCACCCCATAATGACAATTTTTGTCATGACAACGACGACGACGTCACTTCATTTCTCCTGGTAAGTTTTTCTGACCGTTTCAATTGCATCTACTTTCTGAACTATGGTCTCACCACTTTTCTTTTCTTCTTTGTTCAACTATGATAATATGATTGCACAGCAAATCTGCAAGTCTTGATGTGTCATCGCACATTTATAAGGGATCCTTCGGCTGGCTAGTGTTTTCCTTTGTGGTTTCTAGTGGATTGGTCACTCACTAGGATTGCATCGGCAACGCGAAACCAGACGGTTTCATGGCTTGCTGAGTTTGGATGCTTCCCTCCAGTCTTTGTTGAATGGATGGGCAGGCCGAGGCTCGTAAGCGTGTCCATGATCGGCAAGAGCCCAGAAAAGCGGTCCCTTCAATTTTTGAAAAAGAGTCTTGAACTCTACCACTCTGTTATCGGATTCGAATGACAAAGCGGAAGTCTCCCATGGAATATCAGAATCATGTGATCCATCACCCTGCTCAAATATGGGGAGCAAGCGATATCGGTTAGACATGTGAACAGCTGTCATTGTCAATTATATGTATTGTATAATTGGCAATGCTCGGTGGTACATGCAGTTTCGCGATGGCACTGAAACTGAAGGGAGCAGCGGCGTCTTCAACCCATTTCAATATCCTTTGCTATGACATTGCCAGATTGGCATGTCTGGTACTGGTATTGAAAAATAACAATCAACCAACTTTGCAACCAAACTTATATGAAAAGGACGACTGCGTTCGAATTCTAGGATGGACGTAAACCATGGACAACGGCGGAAGCTACTAGAATCAGCTGGTTGATTCTACAATACCAGCGCGACGAAAGGAAAAAGAGATAAAAACTAATTTGAATATGAATATATATGACTATTAATAGTGTAAGGACTAGTCCTATAACACTTCGGTGTAAAAGCAATATACTAATGTCTGCGAAAAAAATGAGTAACTTACTGTAATAATCATGATTGATGAACACCTTCTTTTCGTGTGTCCAAGACCGCTGTTACACAAAAATTGGATGGAGAAGGGTAATTTGCGACCACGACGAGTATTGTGCATCCTTGCGTACCTGTATTGTCCAGCGACCAGTTGGGGAGTTCACAGATTAAAATTGAACTTGAAACTATATAATGGTCAACAATAAGTTTGTTTGTTTTTCTGTCTACCGGTACTGTAAACAGTGATGGAGTTCTTAAAAACAGAGGAGGGATGTTGTTTTAAGTAGGGATCCAAAGATGGAGGGAGGTTGTTAAGTAGGGATCCAAAGATGAGGGAGGTTGTTAAGTAGGGATGCAAGAGGGCTGTTGTTTTTTATTTTTTAAAATTAAACATGGTCCAACAATTTCTCCCAGGGTCATTATTTCTGGCATCATATATATATGCAGTATATATATATCACACTGCGTATTTCATCGGGAAATCATCATCGCAGCACCCGAAGAACTACGACGAGCTGAAGAGGAAAGGCGACGCCGTGATGAAGAAGGACGAGCCAAAAAGGCTGCAGAGGAAGCATCCAGAGCAATTGCCTTGGAAGTGCAACTGATAGAAAAACTGACTCAAGAAAAGGAAAGTATCGGCAGACTCGAAACGAAACTCGAGGTAATGCAAGATCATTTGGCAGAAATGCAAGATGATGTTTACAGTCGGAAAAGATTACTAAGGGCGTCACTTATGGCTTTACCACCTACACAACGACCACGATGGAACTTGGAAGAGGAAATTGCTAAGCCAAGCAAGAGACAGGAGAAACCTCAGTGTGTCATCTGTCAGGACAAGACTCCTGTGCGAGCTGTGATTCCTTGCGGACACCTGTGCCTTTGCGACGATTGTGCACCATCCATTTCTGAGGGGCCGTCTCATGATCGCTTGTGTCCCCTTTGTCGAGGGCCAGCACAGAGCAATCTGAGAATTTATTCATCATGATGGCGATTACAGTACTCCTGCAGAGCAAAAAGGGATCCTTGTGCCATTCCAAACGGATGTTGTGACGAAGTATCATCGTCATCAAACCTAGGATAAATCCCCGACAAATGTTCCAATGATTCTTTCACACCAGTCTTGGCAGCCACTTGAGTGTTGGAAGATGTCAAAAGATCGACCCATATCTCCTCTTCTGAAACAGAAGAATCGGCACGACACAAACCCTTTGCCAGAATGGAATTGACCTTCTTAGGTGAAAGCCACACTGCTGCGTCCACTTCTTCGTCGCACAGTTTCAGGGACATTTGGGACATTTCACGCTCTGATAGCTTGATGGACAAATATACCACCAAGTGATGTCTCTTGATGGTTATTCTCGGTTCTGGAATGGTTGGAAATACGGATTCCCAAATACATTCAATAGTCCAACCACTACAACTGGTGGTCGTCTTCTCTCCATCCCCTGCTGAAGCGTCTAGTGCTTGCATAGCTGATAGCGACGATCCACTAACTTTTAGCCCCGTTTCTTCCCATATTTCTCTCGCTATAGCCGCTTCCAAACTATCATCTGTCGAATCGACAGATCCACCTGAAAAACCCCATGCATGTGGAAAACTTCTCATGTATAGGAGGGTCGCCGAGTGATTAATATCTCGTTCTGTGGTGACACTACCAGTCCGACCACTGCTAATTGTACAAATCTTCTTACATTAGGACCAGAACCTTGTGATAAAAGTTTTGCCTGAGTGGCAGCTTGAGTTTCCGAAACAGTGGTGGGGCAAGGATGCGATCCAAGTGGTGGATAACTCCGCGATCTTCCGAATGGAATCCTCAGCACGCTCTTGCTGCCATTGCCATCCAAAGAGACGACGCTGATAAAACTGTCAACTGGCCATTATCATAGCCTTGATTCAATGATACCAGCGTTCGATCATAATGATTTGCGGAGGAGTCGTCGTCTGTTGATGATATATCTTCTCTCAGACTATTTCTACTGCTAGTCGAGAGAATGCTATCGAAGACGGAAGCACCAAATGTACAACACTTCGAATTGATCCAAACGCTAGGTGGGGATAGTTTGCTGGTCATATATAGTCCAGAACAAAATCTTGCAGTATCGTAGAGTATAAATACCTGTCGATTAATTTTAAGGCATCAATAAGGTTTTACGACTTATTCTCGTTGGAGCATGATGATCACACCTCATGACTCATCAGTCACGAGTTGAAATCATGACTGCAATGGATACGACCGCTGATTCATCAGGTGGAGTGGAGAATGTAATATACTGGATTAACGAGGAATATACGACAGTATATTCCCAAGTACAAATGTACGAATGGAAAGTCTAAGAAATAGTAGTAAGCTCGGAAGACGAGAAGATCTGCAGTACATGCAATTCTCATTGTCTTCCGAAAATTAATAAAGACGAAAGTAATTTATAGCACACCTACGGTGCTTGATCTTATCTGTTCTTAGACTAGACAGGGTAGTCACTTGACTGGTGCTACCGATCGGCATCCAAGGCGTTGTTCCAACATTTTCGGATTCGCGGCCGGTGATGTTGCTACCCCCTTCATATCCTCTGGTGCCTCTTCCAGTAGACGATCCACATAGTCGTCCATCGAAAACTTCACCTTCCCTTTCTCGCTGAAATCAATTGTAACTCCAACATATTCATGCACTTCTCCTCTTTGGATAGTGAGGGGCGCTTCCTTGCCATACCGTTCGCTTAGCTTGTCGGCCAAATCATCAAGTACCCCTTGCTCGACATGTGAGATTTTCAAATCATCAACATGCCAGATAATGGTACACTGTTTACCGTTGATTGTCTTATTGACCACGCAGCTGTCGTATGGGTTCGCTTCGTATCCCAATTCATTAATGAGGAACTCGGAAAGATTTTTCCACCATTGAATGGCTCCTTTTAAGGTCCCATACAAGTTCTTGTTCAGCTGAGCGTAGATCACTGGCTTCTTTCCTTCATACGCCACGTATTTTGTATACAAGCTCGGATCAACCTTGGTTAGCAGGTTGGCTATCTCGCCTTCAAACTTCACATGGACAACGTCGTCGATGTCTGCCTGCATAAAGGCTCCGGGAATGTCAATTGTCATCACCTTTCGCCCTTCTTTGGCATCAATGGCGCATGTGATGATGAATGATTCGGTTCTCACTGTAGGGGCTGAAGCATCTTCCTTTGGCGTGTACAGTCGCTGGCTCCTTCCATCAGCGCAACCTCTAGCTTTTATTTTCCCGCATCGCTTCTCCTTCAGGAACATCAAATATCTCAGCGCATCCCTTCTCTGTTGCTTGGTGAGTTCGTGCGCGAATTTTGGTGACAGGACGTTCCTATAGTGGATTTGGTGCATCTCGGCCACTACCGCTTCTGCTCCCTTGTCTCCGAATACCTTTAGTCCTTTCTTAAAAAGATCAACACGGACAGCTCTACAGTGGCCGAACTAGTCGTGGTACATGATGCACTACCTATGATCATGTGGTCCAGATATTTCATCGCATCTCAAGGCCATACGGTGGTGGACAACGTTATTCACCAAGATAATCAAAGCGCCATCTTGCTCGAGAAGAATGGAAGGAAGTCATGCGGCCGCAAGACAAGGGCATTGGACGTCAGGTATTTCTCTATTACCGACAAGGTTGCCCAGAAGCTCATGACAATCAAACATTGCCCCACTGCAGAGATGTTGGGAGACTTTTTGACGAAACCTCTACAGGGAGCACTGTTCCGAAAGTTCAGAGATCTAATCATGAATTACTCAGGCCAATCCAACTGATGACTCGGGCCGCAGGAGTGCGTTGGAGCATGATGATCACACCTCATGACTCATCAGTCACGAGTTGAAATCATGACTGCAATGGATACGACCGCTGATTCATCAGGTGGAGTGGAGAATGTAATATACTGGATTAACGAGGAATATACGACAGTATATTCCCAAGTACAAATGTACGAATGGAAAGTCTAAGAAATAGTAGTAAGCTCGGAAGACGAGAAGATCTGCAGTACATGCAATTCTCATTGTCTTCCGAAAATTAATAAAGACGAAAGTAATTTATAGCACACCTACGGTGCTTGATCTTATCTGTTCTTAGACTAGACAGGGTAGTCACTTGACTGGTGCTACCGATCGGCATCCAAGGCGTTGTTCCAACAATTCTTGTTGTCAATGCACATATATAAAATCCTTTAAACAATACCGCGGTATATATATATGTACTGCTGGGCACTGACGCACGATGAAAGAACAGCAGAACAAAAGACAGAGCGTGCTAAAAAACATACGCCTCATCATCACATCACCGCATTACAGATTCAATCATTTTAATACAACACAAAAATGGGATGCGACGGGGTGTACCGGTATCAACGTTTCCGTTGGAGGAACTGTGTCATGCTCCTCCTTCTTCAATATACTTCGTCTTCTTTTCGGATCGCCGCTGCCTTTAATGTCGTCCTGCCGCGACGGAATTCGTCACCGAGAAGAACATCAGCAGCAGGCATCCGAGGACGAATGAGCATTATCAATATGTCTACGACGAGCTCGCCGAAGCGACCGAGCAAATTTGCAGCTCTCATGCCAGGAGAAGCCTCTGCTGCACCGGCCACTGGTTGGCCCCCATTGGAGTTTTCTTCCACAACAGCAAGCATTCGAACCTCCATTTTGCCAGATGATCCCTGCCATACAAATGAACAGCCCTTGTTACATCATCGACGAGAAATCTATTACAAACCCTCTCTTCTTTCCGAAAACCAGGTCCTTGATCTTGTGGAACTACTAGAAGCCTCATCTGTTGAACTACGAGAGAAAGAAGCACGATGTTTAGTGGCAATGGAAGATGGAGACATATGCAACACTGCTAGTAGCAAACTCTCCGAGATTTTGATCCCCATGTTGATGGAACAGGTTCTTCCCTTTGCTAGAGAAGTCTGCCAGGCTCCAAATCTTGCCATCGCAGACGCTTTGATACGATCCTATGATCCAAATGACAACAGAGAGGCATTGCCACAGCACTATGACAAAACCGCCTATTGTTCGGTGATTGTTCCCTTGAATCCGACGGAATGCGAAGGAGGTCTTTACGTACAGCCTGGTGCTTCGGTAAATACGCGTCGAGAAGTTCAATTCCAAACAGCTGGAGATGCTGTACTGCATCGTTACGATGTTATGCATGGAGTTCACGTTCGAAAAGGGAAGCGATACTCGCTTGTGGTATGGATGGCCGAAACAGAAGATTCTGTAGTCCAAAAAACGGCGCCGTGGGTGGAACGAGAGGCCAATATCAGTGTCCATGCCGCCTTTTTGTATGCCAACAATATCAAAGAGGGTCTTTTGGGATTCTCCAAGAATGAAACATTGGCGAGAAGTCTCTATGAATGGGCATCGGAACAAGGGCATGCCTATTCTCAATACGTCTTGGCACTATGGCTTTTCAAAGATCGGCAGGAACGAGTGCGTGGGGTAGATCTGCTGCGTCAAGCTTCGACAGGAGGACTTGCGTCGGCACAACACATGTTAGGAATATTGTATAAGGAAGGATATCAAGGGCTAGAGACGAACAGAGATCTAGCGCAATCGTATTTGAGAAGTGCAGCAAACCAGGGCTATGGACCATCACTGGAAATACTCAATGACCCCTCGAGGTGGTAGGCAAATAATCATGACAAAGCACACCCACACGACGTTTGGCAAATGGTTAGTTCAAAGCGCTCGTGACGATTACGCACTTCACATAGAACAGACAAGACACACCAGCACGCAGAGCCAACCTATTTTAGAATATATTCAGCATTTGGCACATGTCTGCAAAGACGACGGCTCTTCTCTCAAGGCAACTGCCAGTTGGCAATATGTCTTGATGGTTATCGTGAACTGAAACTATATGTCGAATGTATTTGATTCACTTGCGGGTCACAATATGCCCAATAATCTGTTGTTTGACGAAGCTACAGTATAGTCCAGGTTAAAAATGACTATACACAATACGTTACTGCAATATCATAATTCTATTTTAATAATTTTAGTCGTATCTAAATTTAAAAAGAAGGAGCACACCGATCTCAATTCAAAAAGTAGCACTCGTTTACATCAATATAATGCCTCCAAGGATTACAGAAATAAGCAGTGATACAACATACGGTACCGCATTTGCCGTAGAAGGAGATATTGGTGCTAGTGTGTTGTTGCTTTCTGTCCCGTTGAAAACTGTTGGACTAGCAGTTGGAGCATCCTCTCCGAATGCCACGACCAATACAGCTTTTTGTCTTGCTCGCATCAAAGTTACGTGGATTCCTCCAACATCGGTGTTCAAGGGAAGTGCATTTTGAATATACGAAGGAAGTTCGCTAATTGCACGATCGGATACAAGCAGCTCTTCCAAAAAGTCCAAAAAGCCGACTTGACGTGGGGCTCTTTTGTAGTTGGGAAAGGTTGTTGTCACCGTAATCAACACTGGCTTCTCGTAATCCAGCTGATTCGTCACCATATCTGGTCTCTCGTCGCCATCCGAATCAGAAGTACCGGTAGAATTGTCTTGGAGGTGACGTCGCCCACGTCCTCGTGCACACGAAACCTGTGTGGAAGCCCCTGTCCCGAATTCATCTTGAATTCCTTGGTCAATGAAACTTTCAAATCCCTTGCAAATGACATCCAATGAGTCAAGACCATCGATTCCGACCTCCACCAAAACGGTCGCAGCCCGATTGATTGAAATGGCACCGGTAGGAGCTGCAGTGATTCTGAAATTGGAAGGAGCAAGTGACATCGAGGGGGATACGGATGGGGGTGATGTAGGTTGCTTCGATGGTACCGAAGAAGGCATTATGGATGGTTTTAATGAAGGATCGGAAGACGGCGCTGTGCTCGGGAATTTCGATGGCGCTATGCTTGGCACCAGTGATGCTGATGGCTGGTCACTGGGCACCATCGAACCTGATGGCATTGCACTCGGATTAAAAGATTCGGATGGCGAGGCGCTTGGCTGTCGGGAAGGTATCGAAGATGGACCAATCGATGGCTTCAGAGAAGGTTGGTTGCTTGGTTGGATTGACGGTGTCGAAGAAGGCTTTATGGATGGCTTTATCGATGGCAAGGAACTTGGTTGAATTGAAGGGGGGAGAGATGGAACTGCAGATGGTTGTAACGACGGAGCCATACTGAGAGATGGCTTGGAACTTCCGCTAGGATTGGATGACGGCTCCAAACTTTTGCTTGGGACCTGACTTGGAGCCTTGCTTGGTGAGAGGCTGGGAATCCCACTGGGCTCGGCACTCGGAGTCTGGCTCGGTGTTTTGCTGGGCGATAAACTCGGAGATTCGCTTCGAGCGATGCTGGGTGACAAACTGGGGAGTGTGCTTGGAGCGAGACTCGGAATCTGGCTTGGAGCAACACTTGGAGCAAGGCTCGGCACATTGCTGGGTGAAATACTTGGAATTTGGCTCGGTGCAATGCTAGGAATCCAACTCGGAGTCCTACTTGGTGAAAGACTTGGAGTTTGACTTGGACCAATGCTTGGACTCATACTTGGAGCTTTGCTGGGTGAAAGACTCGGCACATTGCTTGGTGAGAGGCTAGGAGCTTTACTTGGTGCGACACTTGGATTCATACTCGGAATTATACTTGGTACAAGACTCGGAATTGTGCTTGGCGCGACACTTGGATTCGTACTCGGAGCCTTGCTGGGTATAAGACTCGGAATTGTGCTGGGTTGAATGCTTGGACTCGTACTTGGAGCCTTGCTGGGTAAAAGACTCGGAGTCTGGCTTGGGACAATGCTTGGATTTCTACTTGGGACCTTGCTTGGCGAGAGACTTGGGATTTTACTGGGCGATGAACTAGGTGCTCGACTTGGAACCCCACTTGGCATGAAACTCGGTGGTCTACTTGGTGCAACACTTGGATATATACTCGGCACAATACTCGGTATTTTACTTGGTGCGAGACTTGGAAGCGTACTCGGTGTCAAACTCGGTGCTGTACTGGGCATAAGACTTGGAAGCGAACTCGGTATATTACTCGGTATGGCACTGGGATTGTTGCTCGGTGTTTGACTTGGAATCACACTGGGTATTACGCTCGGAGTCTTACTTGGTGATCGACTCGGAATCGAACTTGGTATTGTACTTGGTGCGCGGCTTGGAATCACACTTGGCGCCATGCTATCTGTTGGTGTGTTCAATCTCCGATGCTCGTGTTCTGGTGATCTTTCATCCGCCTCATTAGTATTCCAAAGGTTTGGAAGTTCTGTCATGTGAATCTCATGTGTCTGTTGGTTCAGCAATGCATCGTTTGGCAATGATATCATGGTTTTATCACTAATAAGGTCTCCTGATATTGTCTTTTCAATTATCCAACTTGCATCAACAGAAGGAATGAGATATGAACGACCGTTAACTGCACACATCAGCTCTAATCGAATGCTCTCGTCAATAGATGTTTGAGTGACGTGAGCGACACATTCATCTTGAAATGGAATTAAATTATCTGATGATGACGATTCCTCATTATGCGACAACTCATCAAATTCATGCGGAATAATTGTCGATTGCACCAAACTGGAATTCCAATAGAAATAAAGCGCAAACAACAAATTTCTCAACTGTTGTGAAGGCAAGTTGAAGGGTTTGTTCATCATGGTGACTCAAGATATCTTCAATGTTCCTTTGGAAAGATGTTATCAGTAGCAACGAGAACAATATATATATCCTACTCATTGTTGCCGCTGCCAAAATTTGAATTTATTTTTGGCAGTCGTGGTCTTGGTCCCCGAGGATTGTGCATTAAATAAGTGAAATGAGTCACATACAAACAAAGAAATTTCCTAATTAAGGCGAAAGTCATTTCGAAAACCGGTGACAGTTTACCAGTTATCCATCTCACACAATCCCTTGAGTAGAGCACAATGCAATGAAATCGATGAATCAAACTGTAAGTTACAGCACTGTAACCATACGCCGGGCAATCAAACAGATTACCAATGGCCATAAGCTCTGTATCCCCTTTACCCCAGAAGGAGAATCCCCTCCTTCTTCCCCAATGTTGTTGTCATTCCCGGTTACGTCAAGTGTAGTAGTACCATTCGAAGTGGGACTTGGAGTTGGAGAGTCCGCTCCAAATCCCAAAAGTATTATCGGCTTTTTTGGTGTAAAAACCAGCCTTACATGAACCCCCTCGATAAATACTAGTCCCCCCACAGCATTCTGGATATACTGAGGGAGCTGTTCCTGTGCCCGATCAGATACAAGCAATTGTTCCAAGAAGTCGGCATATCCAAATTGTCGTGGAGCCGTCTTGTAATTATCAAATGTGGTGACCACTGTGATCAAGACTGGTTTTTCATAATCAAACACTTCTTCGACAACACCAACCCCTCCAGGTGGCCTGAAAATGTTGTCATTGCCCACGAGAGAACGTCGACCTAGCCCTTGCTGTGAGCAAGAAATGGCAGACATCGTGTCACTGCCATAGACACCTTGAATTCCGCTGTTCAAAAAATTCCCAATGCCTTCGCAGACAATATCCAAATTGTTCAAGCCGTTGATTCCAATTTCAATCGCAACCGTAGCAGTTCGTTGAAGAGAAAAGATTGCCGAAGGATAAGGGGTTGGATAAGTAGATGGTTCCTGTGTAATAGTTGGTTCAATTGACGGCTCAAAGGAAGGTTCCATGGATGGTTCCGTCGAAGGAACCATAGATGGCCACCTAGATGGCACTGTACTAGGAACTTGCGACGGAGCAAAACTTGGTATAATGGAAGGAATATCGGAAGGAACGGTCGATGGCGACTTGGATGGCACAATGGAAGGCACCATGGAAGGCTCCTTGCTTATGGTTGGTGCAAAGGAAGTGGGATTCGCAGATATGGAGGGCAAAATACTCGGATTTAGAGAAGGGATGGAACTCGGTTTTTGTGATGGGATTGCCGAAGGCTGTTTCGATGGTTCTAGCGATGGCAAGGAAGTTGGTCCTGTTGATGGAATAGCAGAAGGTGCCGATGACGGCTGCTGAGATGGCAGACTGGTTGGACTGCCCGATGCGACATTTGTCGGATTCGAGGAAGGCTGCCGAGAGGGAACTCGACTGACCGAAGGTTGGGCGCTTTCGCTGGGTTTTGATGATGGTTGTTTACTGAAAGAAGGCGCATTTGAATTCGATGGGCTTTTGGATGGAGCAAGACTTGGTTGTTTGCTGGGGCTGCTGCTCGGATTGTTAGTTGGTTGTCTACTAGGACTCTTGCTCGGCACCATGCTTCCACTCGGAGCTGCGCTAGGTGAACGGCTCGGAGATATGCTCGGCGAGAAACTTGGTTGCTTTGATGGTAGTTGGCTCATGGATGGTCTCTTGCTCGGTACATTGCTGGGCGCTATGCTTGCTGTCGTGGTAGTAACCAATCTTCGAAGCCCTTGTTTTCGTTGATGTTTTTGTTGTTGTTCCACATCCGATGATGGTGAATATGATATCGCTTGAACGACCAAACAGTTACTCCAAACGAGGCAAAGAATGCACAAACAACAAGTCTGACGAAGACTCGATATCGTCAAGCATGACATTTTCATTTGTGAAGTTACTGAAGAGGCATCGAATCAATTTTCGCGTCGTGATGAGATGTGAGTTGGTGATGAAGAAGAATTATGACTGTAAAATATGTGTATATTGAAAATGTGCGGCGGAAATATCAATGTTGATACGACTGAATGCCTCTTTCTCCGAAATATTTAAATCTACTTAGTACTTCGGACTTTTTGACAATGACTCACTGGAAAATGCTGCAATAATTGGTAAGGAGAACATTATTTTTAATATCAGTCACTAATCTTGGACCACATTTCTTGGAGACGCGCGCAATGGATGATTGCCCCTATACCAGTTGACCATCCACGTCCTGAACTCTACTGCACATAACTAGAATGAGTCAAATATGAAACAATGCAATTAGTGTAGATGATATACCAAGAGAAAAAAATACTACAGCTACATGATTCAGAGGAAGAACCACGCGCCGACGAGGATCCACGACGCTGTGGATATGCCAATTGCAAGAGTCCGGACGGATCCTGCAGTAGCCATATACGAGACAACTTTCGTTTCTTCCGGGGCTTCTGAAAATGATATCTTCAATGCTGGAGGGTCCACACTTTCATTGACATCCGTTGAAATGACCCCTGCCACGAGCATACCAGCATCCATTGCTGACCGCAAAATGTACATTGGAAGTTTCCTCCTCGACTCTGCATCTATCATCAATTCCACTGCATATTTCTCAAAATCTTCTTGTAGTGGCGCAACAGAGCCTCTAGGAAAACGACTGTTTACTGTGACTCCAATATTGATGATCGCTCCTTCTTTCGTTCCAAGTGATTCAGACAACGGTCGTCGCATCGCGATGGGCCCGGAACCGAAACCGCCTTCTGCTTCACAACTGATATCATTGTCGACATTGGATCCAAAGGTTTCTTTGATGAGGTCATCCATGAACTTCTTGACACCATTACAAATAACGTCAACCTTGCCAAAACTTGCTGACGAAATCTCAATGGCACCACGTCCCGTTCGGATGCGTTCTCCAAAGGTCGGGGCAGGTGTCGGTGCTTTTGTCGGAGCACTAGTTGTTGGTTGAGGCGTTGGAGTCATACTCGGCTGCGATGTGGTCGGAGTCGACGAAGGCGTCGTAGAAGGTTTGATGGTTGGCGTCCGTGTTGGATTTCCAGGTTCGACCGTTGGAGACGGGGTGGTGGGAGAGAAAGTTGGTGAATTTGACGGCGTCGTTGTTGGCGTCTTTGATGGACTGATACTGGGCACATTTGTTGGAGTCTTTGATGGTGTTGTCGTTGGATTCTTGGTCGGTTGTATTGAGGGTAGGGTGGTTGGGGACGGAGTTGGTTTCAACGTGGGCGCTTTGGTTGGGTAGGGCGTCGGTTTTAACGTAGGCCCAGGGGTCGGTGCTGGGGTTGGAACTGGTGTCGGATCTGGTGTTGGCTCTGGAGTTGGTGAGCGAGTCGGCTTCGCAGTAGGCGATTTGGTGGGAGCAATTGTTGGTGGGTCTGTATCACGACGTTGAGCAAGCGCAACCGCTGCTGGAGGCTTGGTAGGTTTTGCTGTTGGAGCCTTGGTGGGAGCAATGGTGGGTGCTGTATTGTAGAGACAAGATTATATTGCAAGATGTGAGGACAAGGCTTGACCCAGCGAAAAACTAGAGAATTCATTCGTAATTCGTACATTTGGTTGGAGACGCAGTTATTGGCGCCTGCGTAGGTGGTTTGGTCGGATGAGGTGTCGGGCGCCCAGTTGGTGGAGGGGTGGGCACGGGTATGGAAGGCCCTGACAGTACGACCGAAATGTCGGCATCCTCACCAGAAACGGATACAAACGTCACTGTCAGCGTCTCTCCATTCTTTCCATTAAAGTTTTCTAAAACAAGGCTATCTCCTGGATCCATCGCTCTTGCAAGAAAGGAAAAGTTTTCATCATTCTTGGTATTTTTCATGGTGACCAAGACTTGATCGGCCCCTTCCATTGTCAGTCGATTCAATCCTTTCGCCAAGTTGTAGTTCACATAGAAGGCCCAAGGTGAAGTTGTTTGTTTTATTTCCAACAGGACATTGTGAGGTGTACTTCCGTAGTTGGCAATACCGGAAAGTTTTCCAGAGTATGAGTATTGTGCAGTTGCCAATGGGGCAAAGGTGATAGACTTGTCATCATACCATCCCAGCTGCCAACTCTTGGCGGCATTGAAACACTGAAATGGCAACTCATCTTCTCCGTATGAAAGTCCCATCTACGCGATTTGAGAACATTGGAAAGTCGGTCAGTCGATCCATCGGTGACTTCCGTAATTTTGTAATTTAATTGATACGGGATGACTTACATAACCACTTTGATCGCCATATTCGTCATCTCCGTGCGCAGAATGACCCATATTCAAGTTGTGCCTATGGGAATGAAACGAGAAGAATGTAATGAATGAACGATGACCAAGAAACACACAAAAGAACAAATAGTAAGTCGACTTACCCAATTTCGTGCATTTGTGTAGACACTTCCGAACAAACTGCGTCATTGAAAACTGTGGCATAGCTATTCATCCATCCATAAGCAACCGCCCATTCGCTCATCGTTCCAGGAGGCATGCAATACATGATGTGATCTGCAAGTTCCCTTACTCCCATACCGAATTCTTCCTTCAATTTGCTATTGATCCGATTGGTCATGCGCATGTCACCGATTTGGGCGGGAGCTCCTGGTGTAATGGTAACGACCCCATTCCGAATACTAGTGGTCTTTCCTCGACGGTCCTGTGTCTTGCGAAACTCCAGTTTTCCGTAGGAGCAGTCATAGTATTGTGACCTTAAGTTATTGACGTCGCCATTTCCACCAAAGATATCACTGCTGAGTTGATCTTCTGATAAAGATGTCACACTGTTGGTGGCTTGGACACGAACAACTAGGACTTTCTTAACACCAATGGTCCGTTCCAAGTTTTTCAGTCGACGACGATCAGGAGAATTATCGTCCAATTGAGGATTCTTCAATCCGGGTGGAGCATCCAATATGAGAGTGTCGGTTTCAATATCGTAGTAGGTAGGATCTGGCAGCACCAGTTCCGTTTCTCCGCTAAATAGCTCGTCTTCGAATTCCTTTTTGCGAATCCATGCCTCATTGACAGATGGTACTAGATAGGCCATTCCAGAGGGAGTCTCACAAATCAAATCAGCATCATCGTCGTCGTTGGTGATTTCTCGTACAATGGCAAGGCAGGGTTCCGTCATTTGTTCCACACCACCCACCACCACCGGATCATCTTGTGCTGCAGATGCAATCCCTAGAGTGTTTAGCAGAATGAAAAGAAAGACACATGTGGCTCCAAGGCTGTAGGGATACGACCGTTCCATGGAAGTAATGTTTGTGTATTGATACGAGGTCCTGTTCTTGTTGTTGCTTCTAGTATTCTTCTAGTTCGTAATGTCCACGGATGAGGCAGGACGAGGAGGCGAAGTCAAGATGCTGAGTGTCAGTATCTTATGTATTTCTTGGGTGCGGATATGTGGATATTTGATAATCGAGCGAAACAATCCGACATATATCGACGCACCATATATATCGTGCAACGGAATATTCTTTGGAAGGTATCCGCGTGATTGGCGTTGAAGGGTTGTTTGATCGTTGGAAAGGAGAGTTTTATTGTGAGCATGTGCACCTCATCCGTTGAGGCGGTCTGTACGTCCAGTCGTTACTATCAACTTGCTAGCTAGCTGGCGGGCGTGAAATGATAATGACTGATCTGAATTTTATTTTGACATCAACGCAATAAGAAATCATTGTAACTCGGAAGTCATCATCTACGATCTGACACATCGAAAGTGCTTACGGTATATTTCTGTCGGTCGCAAGTCAGCTCTATTCTTCAAGATCCTCAGCAAACAAGACTTCTGATACTCTGAACAAACCCTTCAGACATAATAAGAATAGGACTGCCGCAAACAGAAGAGAGTCAGTTATTATTACAAATAAACACCACACACACACACACACACACACACACACACACACACACACACACACACACACACACACACACATACAGTACTAGAAAACATGGGACACCCAGAAGTTCAGGTCAACGTTCACAATTTCTTTCTCATCAAGCAGATCGTGGAAGAAGATGGCAGATTAATAGCAGTTGGGACCTTCATTCAACACTGCTTTGAAGATGAAAAGACAAAAGAAATGATCAGAGGCAGGATGCACAAAGAAGGCAAAAATATCGATGATTATGAAATCAAGTTCGAGTATCGCTTCAACGATGAAACTGCTGATAACGACAGTGGGTATGTTCGGCATCGAAGGACTGAAAAATATGAAACTGATATGGGAACCCTCTACCGCCACACTTATCAAGTCAAGGCACCCTTGGATGTCAATGTCGAATTGGATTACTTCCCGTTCCGTGTGGTCAGCGCCAAGTTGTTGGTCGAACTGAGTACCTTTACCACTCTGGACAATGAGACACGGCTCCGACCAAATCTCATTCTCCACTTATTGGATAAGACCAACATGTTCAGCATTCAAAAGGATCAAATGACCGAGACGAAAGGAAGTGATTTCGATCAAGCCAAAGACAAGATGGACAAGGCGGATAGCTATGACTTTATTTCACCCTTTCCAAAAGTGGCCTACCTCTACGACACAAAGAAGAGATATTGCCCCAAGTTTATGGTTACCTTTCTTATGGTCGAAGATGGTATGAAGAAATTTGTTGAGATTGTGGCTCCCATGGTCTTGATTGCTGGCATGAATACGATTCATGTTCTGAATCCAGATGAAGGAGTGGAAGTGGCTGACTACATTGCCAACTCGGCCACCTTTGCCCTTTCTGTTCTCGTCTTCTTGCCTACCATGGTCGGAACCTCGAGAGTTCAACAACTCTGGACAGCGAACAATCTTTACATCGTGTTGATTTTTGTTGCCCTCACATTGTCGAGTATACCCGACACTTGGGCGGGGCACAAGGGCTACGCCGTAGCGGGAATGATTATCTACTGGGTTTCCTTTCTGTTCCCGATTGTCAACAGCGTTCGCTATCTTCTGTTCCTTCGCAAGGCAAAACGAAAGGCAAACGCCAAACACTTTTGGCAGGGTCCCAATAAGAAAGCTTACAAGGCTTCCAAGAAAGAAGTGGCTCACGAATTTGCCAAGGTGGAAGAGATTGTTTACAAGCCAGATGACGAACGAATGCAAATGGAATATACATTACGGGAAGTGCACAAGTTCCGTGTGCTCGAATTTGCTTCCGTGGGTGCCATTGCCCGAAGTAAAAAAAAGATAACGACAGCAGGTGCGGCAACACCAGAGGTTGCTGCTTGATGATGTCGTATTGTATTGAATTTTTTGAATGAATGCATCCTGATGAAATATATTGGTAATGTTTGTACGATATATATATATATATGTATGTATATATATATATATATATTATTTTATTTCCATTTTGTCTTCTGCAACGATTCTAGTATTTTTATAGTTTGTGCTTCTTGCATGATTGAAGCATCGTTATAATGGTGGAGGGGGGCTCTTGGACATGCCCTATAGCTCTGATTCAGTGTGTACTCTAGCAGTTTGCCTTCGAAACGCAATGCCGTTTCTATATGCAAATGTACAAATTTAGTGTTGCAGAGAACCAAATTATGGTGCAACACCTTGCCCTTCCAATGCCATCGCCGTCAGCTTCTTGACACCTTCTGACATGTCGTCAAAAGCAAAAAGACCAGATCCAGCAATAAAACAGTTGGCTCCAGCTCTTGCACATTCTCCAATAGTTTCCTTGGTAGCCTTAATTCCCCCATCCACTTCAATATCAACATCCAAGTTTCGGTCAACAATCCACTTTCGAATCTTTCGGACCTTGTCAGTCATGGTGGGAATATATTTTTGCCCCCCGAATCCAGGGTTTACAGTCATGACCAAGACATGATCGACCAAATCCAAGACATTCTCAATCATTTCCGCAGGTGTGTGAGGGTTCAGGGCGACTGATGGGGATCCACCAGCGGCACGAATCTTGGTAAGGTTGCGGTGCAAATGGGTGCATGCTTCCACATGGACGATAACAACACCTGGCTCTCCATTTGGACCTTTGGAAACTTCGGTGAAGGTATCCAGCATGGCGTCAGTACAACGTTCACTGACCATGAGTTGTGTTTCAAAAGGGAGTTTGGTGTATTGACGACACCAGCGAATGGTATCAGGACCGAATCTATAATGGAACAGAGAGATAGATATGTGTAAGTTTTGATCCAGCGAAAGGATTAAAGGCGATCCTAATGGATCATCCATCAGTCAAGCAGCATTCATCTTACGTCAGATTTGGAACAAAGTTGCCATCCATCACATCAAACTGGATTCTGTCACAGCCAGCATCTTCCATCTTTTTGCAGTCGGCACCCAATTTCCCAAAGTCAGCTGGAAGGACTGAGGGGATAATTTGAACCTTGCGAGGCTTTCCGTAGAGAGGAGCACTTTCAGACATGGTTGTGTGTACGAGTATTGTAAAGAAAGAAACTAATGTTGTGACAACAACGATATGGATGCGTTTCGTATCAAAGAGATTTTATTCGTGATGAGGGTTTGATGTATTTGAACTGCGCGATATATGCGCGAGTTTGAATAGCACCCATTTTCCTGCATGCCGTATACACGTACTGCATGCATACACGTGTAACATGCGTCTCCTGACTGAAATGAGATTTCGAAACCCGGAGCCTAATATAAAATACGAGTAAAGGGCCTAATCGTCAGCTATCAAGTCCGAAAAATAGGTCTCATAAAATTACCATCACCACGCTTCGCTGTCGCACATCCATTGCAACGAGTCGAGTTCATCGCGTATATTACAATTCATAAAATGTGGAAGACAGCTTGTTATTCCACTCTCTTGCTTTCGCAAGCGAAAAGTTTGGTCATCAAACAGTCGCCTCGGGTCAGTCATCTTTCTCGTCCGATTGTTCGATCCGTCCCTGAGTCCAGCAACAACAACAACAATAAGTACACCTACTCTTCAACAAGACTCCTATCATCGTCTTCGTCTTCGTCGTCGTCGTCCACCACTGATGATGTCTGGAAAGAAACAGCACAAGTTTATTCGGACCAAGCATCTCGTTTGACACAATTGCATGGTTCGGATCTCATTACGATTCTCCGAAATGATATTATGAATGCCAAGACAATCCTGGACGTTGGTGCCGGTGCGGGGGCCTTTGCGCATGCCTACCTGCAACATTTTCCCACTGGTATTCCTGGTCAGACATTGATCCTATCTGATCTCTCCGAAGGAATGCTCGAACAAGCCAAGAAAACTCTCAAAATTCCATCCGACTACCAAACCAAAATCATTTTTCAAATTGAAGATGGAACCAGATTGGAAGGTATTGAAACGGACTCAATGGACATGGTGGTAAGTACGTTTGGTGTCTTTCTGATTCCCGATCAAGAGGCGACACTTGCTTCCATTCAGCGTGTTATGAAACCAGAAGCCGTGTTTGGCAATGCCTCCTGGATTTGGGAAGGTTCTTCCAAATTGGCTTCCATGGGATTTGGGGTCACACTCCAAGAAGCATTTACGAAACCTGTTGATACAATCAATCCAAGCCATAGCGAGGAAGCAATTGGTCCTCTAAAGAAGTGGTCCGATGCGGACGAAGTCGAACGAATGCTAACCGCTGACTACAAATTCGATTCAGTCAAGATGTACCGAGCGTTGCACAGCACAGTTTGGGAATATGATAATCTTTGGGGTATGATTGAAAACAACCCCATGACTAATATGAAGGATTTGTCACCAGAAGACGAGGAACGTGCCAAATCAGCCTTTCAAAAGTTTGTGACACAGGATGGCGCATACAGTACTGATGAACCGCTCATGATCTCTTCTGCTTCGAATCTTGCCGTTGCCCGAGGATTGCCAGCTTGATACAGAAATTTGATTTCGCGACATATTTAAAAATTAATAAAGAAAAGTCCTACTATGGCAAAATCCAATTGTCTATACTGCCTATATACTGTCATTGAGAAGCTTTCTCTTCTTCAAACAGCTCTTCAGGGAGCCATCGAGCTTCAAAGTCATCTATTCCCAACGATTCTGATTCTTTTGTCACAATCTCTGAGTAAGGTGTCTTTACTGGTTCTGATATTGACTCGTTCATCCATTCCTTGGATTTTGACGTTCTATCACTAGGATTCTTGGTTGTGAGAGGGATCCCAGCAGCTTCTCGCAATGCCTTTGTTTTCTCTAAACTCGCCAACCGCACATCTTCTCCAATCTCTTCCATGGACGATACCATTCGCGCAATCAGTCCCGGAGAGCAGCCCTGGAGTGCAAGACCTTCTACCGTCATGATTTTCTCCATGGAGGTGAGTCGAATGCCCAGATGGCCCAAAAATTCGCCCAGCTGGACAATGATTTGATTCTTGTCGGGTTGTTCTGGAAGATCAATCAAATCAATCACATCGTCCGCCACAAAATCTCCAAGTCGTTCTCTTCTCAAGTAACCAAAGACTCGTGCCAAATCAGGAGCATGGCCCTGTTTCATGAAGGTATCCGTTTCAAACCTGTCATTATCATTGCTACTGCTGCTGCTGCTGCCATTGGCGGTTGTACCTACTTCCCGCCCTTTTCGCACTATCGAAGATATCGAAGGCCATTTGTGCTCCTTGAGCAAAAAGTAGGTGGCAAAGCGGGTAATCTCTTGGGGTTCCAAGGTTTTCGCTGGCAGAGCTTCTCGGAAAAACAAGGTAATGAATCGCAAACCATCTTGTCCCAAACCGAGCCATTGTGGACTTCGGACATTGGACGGATGATAGGAAATTGTATACTCTTCTTGATTGACTTCACCGAGGTACATTCGAGTCAGAAATTCGCCAACATCATTCCCTCCCCAATGTTGAATCATGGGCGCCAATTGTTTCCCTGCCTTTTCAGGATCGTCTGAATTCCAAGTCAAGAACTCGGATGCTTGAGCTGGATTCCATGAAACTTCCGAGGTGTATCCAGCAGAAGAGCTGTATATTTGAGATGATGATGATGATGATGATGATGATGATGATGATAGCACAGCTGAAGATGGCACGGAAAGTATCCTGATATGATCATCGCTTTGTTGTATCCTTAGCAAATGCAGTCTGTGACTCTGACAATTATTCTCTCGCACTTGAAACGCCAGGCATTGAAGTAGTAAGCCAAGGGAGACAAGGAGAAAGATACAACCAGACTTTGTCATGGCTACTGTTGCTGTTGGATAGAATGTTTCTATCTCCTTCAACTTTAGATGATGGAAGTAGGCTTGTATTATTTGCAACGACGTCACAGTTCGCAGAATTGTTGCGTTCCATCAATATTTTGGAGAAAGTGATGAACGTTGACTGACTCATCGGATCGAAACTTTCACTTTGCTCATCTGAAGTTCCGAATTCCAATCATTCAGGGGATATATTTTCGAGAGTTTCGAATACCGGGTATGGTAGCATGCCACCCCCACTTGGTGCAGAAGTAAAAAAACTGTAAATCCATACAGTACAGTAGAAAAAGATCTTCTTGTTCTTGTGCAAATACCAGATTCGCTCACTGCAATTATAGCATACAAGCTGTCCACATAATGGATGGATATCCGAATGGTAAAAAGTAGCAGGCAGAACATAAAACGTCTGGATGAAATATGCACTTTTTAAAAATCGTTATCGTGATGGCTACTAGCTATCTTCGCCAACAAAGGAATTCAATGATCATGAATCGAATGATCATGAATCATCATTCTCAAAATGGCTTCATTGTATTTCATATACAGTAGTATGGCTTGCTTTTAACTTGCTTCGACCTAATCAATTGTTGGTTCCTATGCTTGTCCTTATTCCTCGGCAGCAGCAGCAGGAGCTGGGGCTGGTGGCGCGGGAGGAGCAGCCTTGACTCCCTTGACGCTCGCCTTGCGATCTTCATCGAAAAGTTCCCAAATAGAAACAAATCCAACAAGAGAAAATATGCTGGCAACCGGAGGGACGCTGGCAAGGTCTCCACCAGACCAGTCCACAAACATGTTGGCTTGGGTCTTGCTCGAAACGGAAGAAGCAATCATCGCACGTGATCGTTGTTGGTGGACAGTGGTGAAGGCACTGGTGGTGGAGGCACAGGAGATCAAGGCCACAAGAGTAACAAGGAAAGCAAAGGGTTTCATGGTGCTGGTGATATCCCGTATGATAGGTTTTTATGATTGTCTCAGACGAGAAGATCGTTGAGAAAGTTACAGTACTGTAGGGTGTCAAGATGAGTGTCAATAACTCGGAAAACAGATCTTGAAGGTATCTTTGGTGCATACCGGTATATCTATCTATCGCGCGCAGAGGAATTTGGAATCCTCCTTGATCTTGCTTGACCTGGCAAAAAAAGAGATTTCGGGATAAAACACGTGCGTGGTCCGGAAGCGCTCGGCAGTTGTGCGGTAGAATTCGAAGGCGGCGCTAAATCCTTGGCTAAATCTGCTCGAGATGAACCGCGCGACCAAAAAGTCATTTCATCGTGTCAGCTGTACACGTACATTTATCTGTTACATATTTCAGAGAAGTCAGTCTTGGCCAAAATTATAGTTTTCGCATAGTGAAATAGACCGTAGATGGGAAGGGTACCTAACATATCCTAGTTCCACAACACACCTACAACTTATAAAGGATGGCAATCGCATCAGTGAAGAGAGGATCCTTCCGAATATACCTGCAGTTGTTCGTCTTGTTGACTTCTTTCGCTTCATTTTGTGACGCTGGTGTCAGTTGCGATTCAGATCAATTTTGCCAAGATTTGTACAACACGGCTGATACAGTTTGCCTGTCTACAACGAAGGAATGCAGTAATCCTTTTCAGAAAGGATGCCTTCGAGCGAAAGGAATAAAAGGGTATTCTGAGAAAGTCCGAGTATGCACATCTGCGGACGAAAGTGCAACTTCGACTAAAACAAATTCTTCTTCAGGTGATGATGGCAACGACGAGATTGATTATTGCCAGGCCCCTGACTTTCCTTATCCAGAAATCAGAATCCACAACGCAGATTGGGCATCAAGTCAGATTCTTGCATGGATATATCAAATCGTCCTGGTCGAAATACTGGATGTTCCGGCTACAGTTGGACTGACATCCGAAACGGCAAAGTTGAATGGATTTTATTCGACCAATAATACCTTAGAATATTCGCAAGAGGCATACCCTTGGGGTGCTCTCCAAAAAGCCAATGAAAAGATGTTTAGTGGAAATAATTGCGAAAATACGAATGATCCCTGTGTTCACATATTCCCTGAAGTCTGGAACGGCCAAATCGATCAATGGCAGAATTCCGAAAATACAGGTGTCATTGATCAGACATCCTCGAATGGGATTGTATTCAAACCAAGCCTGATGATCCCGAAAAAGACTGCGGGGGAATTTCCTTCTCTTAGTCTATTCTATGGGCTGCAAGGGGATCAAAATCGAAGAGTCTTGGCGGAAATGTTTAAGAAACCAACCAGTTGGGTGGATTATTGTGAAACTGTTTCTCTCAACAATTGCAGTGCACCGGATAGTACTGCTGCAAGATACCCAGCGCAAGATGAAAAACTCTTATATTTCTTGGAAGGGTCCTACACCGGATATTTTCTGGCAACCGACAAGAACAATTGTGTAGCCTCGGACAATTTGGACGACTGCCATGGATACCTCGTTGGTCCAACTTGTAACTTTTCTGCCTACATTGATTCTCAGATTTATTGGAACGACATTGGTCTTAAACTGGATGGTCCGGTAGGAAGCAGGTCTTCGTATTTGTATAAATCCATGCTTGAAATCTGGAAAGCGGCCAACGCGACTGGATCCCATGTTATGATGTGGTGGTGGACGACCAGCATTGAAGCTCAGGCCTTTGGCAATTCTAGTTACTCACCTCAGATGATACAATTGCCACAGCCATCACTGCAGTGTCTTGCCAATCGTCCGACACTCGCTGAAAGATGCTCTGACAATCCAGTGGAGAGAAGAGGGAACCCATTGGGGGCATGCGATCAAGAATACACCCCACTGCAACGAGTGATGGCTAGTTCTGTGAATCAGATGAACGCCTTGGTACCTGAAGTTGATCGGTCTCCGGCAGTCGGAATGCTTACTGCATTGCAGGTGTCAGAGTTTGACATCGTGGATATCATTCAGAAAATGTTGGCCGACGGCGAGGATCAAATCGAGAACAATGCCAGAGAAGCTGTTTGTGATTGGGTGGCAGGTCACATTGACGAGTTGGAAGAGATTATTCCTCCTAATTTTCCCAAGCGTCTCACAAGGGTCTTTGAATTTGGTGACCTACATTACGTAGCCCAGGCCATGGCCGGTTTGGTGGGTCTCAGCACTCTGGCGTGCATCTTTCTGACATACAAATACAGGGAAACCAAGACCATGATTTTTGCGCAGCCAACCTTCATACAACTTATTCTGATTGGGTTCTGTTTAGTCTGCGTGGCTGCGTTCATGTTGGCCGTAGTGCCAAGGGATCAGATCTGTTTGTCAATCAAGTGGTTGGAAGTCTTGGGATTGACGATTCAGCTGGTCCCCATCATGATCAAGACTGCCGCCTTGAATCAGCTCATTTCGTCGTCAAAGAAACAACAAATGGTCAATATCAACCAACGAAGTCTGTTGAGGAAAGTAACCATGTGGATGGCTGTTGTTGTTAGTTGTCTTATCGCCTGGACGGTTACTGATCCACCCAAAGTTGCAGAATATCGATCACCCAGCCGTGACGATCCAAGTGAAGTGATCATTGACCGTGAATGCAAATCCGAAGAACTGGGCTGGGAAATTGTTCAATCTTCGATGGAACTTGTGCTGCTATTCATTTGTGCCATTCTTGCCTTTCAGTCAAGAAAATTAGCGTCCGTGGTCAATGAGTCGCGAGTGCTGGCGCAATTGATTTATTCGCACTTTTTGTTCGTGATTCTACGAGTGCTGGTGACCGCTTTTGATCTTCTGGATCTCTTTAGCGGGGACATCATTCCAATTCTCGCCAGTTTCAACCACAGCTTTGATACATTGTTTGCCATGTGCATTTACGTAAGTTTTCCAGAAGAATGAATCGATCGGTGCGCCCTTTGTCTGCTTTTCTCATCGCTCCCTTTCACTTGTGATCCATCCCTCTGCATTTTGGATTCTAGATTCTTCCAAAAATCATCAAAGCAATGTATGAGCCTGAAAAGTACATACCAAAGGTGACCACAGAATCTCCATCCACTCGAGGACTAAAGAAGGATCCAAGCCTAAAAGTTCTGATCTGCACTGCAAACATGGGAAATGCGGCACCGACGAAGGAATCTATGGAAAATTGGATTCCAACGGATGGAGCATGTTTTCATGTGACTCCGTTGGCTGGAGCAGCAAAAGAACTGAAAAAAGGATATTTCGATATCATTGTCATTGGGATGCAAGAAAGTACTTGGGCTAGAAATAATGCCAAGGGTTCGGTGCGTAAGGAAGTAAAAAAAGAGGAAAAGCTTTCGGAAGAAGACATCTTGAATGCCTTGGACCAGCACGATTCGGCTGCTCTGCGAATGATGGTACACGACATTGTTGGTTCGGAATACACTCAGATTGTTGAGGAACTGCGTGGGCAGATGCGGCTGTCCATATGGGCTTCTGTCAACATTGAGCAGGATATCAACTCGGTCAAGATCAGTGGCGCTAACACTGGTATTGGAAATGTCCTAGCAAACAAAGGCGGAATTGTTGCCACGATTGATTACAAGACAACGAGGCTCACCTTCATTTCTGCTCACTTGGCAGCCCATGAAGGCGAAAACTATTACAAGAACAGACTGCAGAACATCCGATCCATTTTGAAAGAAGGAAAAACCAGTGATTTGAGTAGCAAGCTTGATGTGACAATGACGAGCCATCATATGTTTCTGCTTGGCGACTTGAATTTCCGAACCAAATTTGAAGACGAAGACCTTCCTCACGAGGAATGTGTGAACCGAGCGATGAGCTTGGTAGATTTCAAAGACTACGAGGGTCTATACATGTATGATGAACTTCAGAAAGGGCTTAAGGATGGCGACTTGCTTCACAACTTTGAAACATTGCCGTGTAATTTTCCTCCCACTTTCAAGTTAGAACGGGAGCCCGGATTTGTTTACAAAAGTCAGCGGACACCCAGTTACACAGACCGCATTGTTTTCAAATCTGCTGATGGTTTTAGGTCGCACGTGAAACCCCTAGCCTATGAACCATGTGCCGACTTTGTGACCTCGGATCACAAACCAATTCGCGGAGCATTTGCATTACTTCCAAGCGGCGAGGCCAGGGCTCGTATCGTTCCCGGAAAGCTGATATTGAAAATGGCCCAGATTGAAGCATCAAACTTGCCAGTTGCTGACGCTTCAGGGAAAGCTGATCCGTATCTTATGCTGATGTGGGAAGGGGTCGATCTAATGCCCCACAACATGAGTTTTCGAGACAAATTGAGAAGGTATTACAATGGCCAATTCTGGCCACGAACTAGTTACCGATCGCGGACACTGGATCCTGTTTGGGACGAAGATTTGATTCACGTCGAAGCTGAAACTCCGATGGTGCGAAAGGGCTCCTTTCTTTATGTGGTTGTTGTGGATCATGACCGCGTAGGGAAAGATGATTTTATGTGCGGCACAACGCTGAGCCTGTGGGATCTATGTCAAGAAGGAACGAAGACTCATGACATGGACATCCCCTTGACAAAGGATGGCACACTTTGTGGACGTGTCAAGTTTAAGCTTTACATTGGTTTCCCCCAAGGTAGAAATCCCACTCGGGCATCCGCTCGTCGAGGAAGTGTAAATTTGACCCGAATCAAGAATTTTTTCGATGTGAGCCATCGGGATGAGGACGACGAAGATTTCTATCCAGTTCCCCACAATCAAGGCCACCTAAGCAGCAGCGATCGGGCCAAGAGCGCACTTATACCCACTGAAAAGTGGAGAGCAGAGCAAACAGAAAAGCAATCGAGGGAAGTCCTTACAAGTATGTTTGGCAATGGGACAAGGCCTCCCCAAAAAAATATAGTAAAGTAAATATGTATATCATACTCACGACACTTATTAAAACGTTTTAGCAACGGCGCACTTTTGCTCCGCTGCTCATTCTGATGATAGCGAACGGTTTGTAGTACAGTAGCCGACAGAATCAAGCAACTACTGTTTTCATCTCTTCTCTTCTTTCGTATCGTATCGTATCATACAGTATGAACCGGTATACCGGTAGAGCTCTGTGACAAGCCGACTGGTAGGACCAAATAACGGACGTTGCGAGGTTATTCCGACGAATCAAAAATATAATATCCATCAGCATCAACAAATTCAAAATAACAGGCGATACGGTACTGAAGTCTGTCATTCTTCTTCTAACAAAACAAGAGATTAGCAGTAAGAGACACAGTATAGAGCCATGGCTTTCAGGAGATCCATAATTTCCTTGGTGAAGAACAATCAGATATCAGCCTTCCGGACGAGTCTCATAGATGAAGCTTCATCATCCACAATAAGACTTATTCACACACACAACTCCAACATTCGAGCAGAGTTATTTAAATTGCCACGGCGTATTATCTTAATTCGACATGGAGAATCACTTGGAAATGTTGATGATACAAGCTATGCAAGTATTCCAGATTGGAAGATTCCTCTGACGAGAAGAGGAGAACGCCAGGCAGCCCATGCCGGTGAAGAATTACACAACTTGATCAAGGGAGAAAGATTATTCACATACTGCAGGTATGTATTATCGTATACGAGGAAGAAGCCCAGACGTCTCACATCGTCTATTCGCTAAACTTTTGCTTTGCTCCATTGTCTCTTACGTTCTGTTTTCCCCCTCCGCAGTCCCTATAAGAGAACAATAGAAACATGGGATATTATGAAAGAGTCTCTCAAGGAAAAGGATGATGTGACACTCGTCGGGACTCGAGAAGAACCAAGAATTGCTGAGCAGCAGTTTGGAAACTTTCAAGTAAGTCTACCTGTACTTCAATTGGACTCTCGCGTCGTGACAATTAATCTCAATTTCTGTATTTTTTGAAAGAACCCTAAAAAGGTTAGAACGGCCAAGGTGGAACGACGAACCTTTGGACGGTTCTTCTTCCGATTTCCAAATGGTGAAGCAGGTCTTGATGTATACAACCGAGCGAGTAGTTTCTTGGCAACTTTATCTAGAGATCTTCAATGGTTGGAAGCGAATTCGGTTCCCATGGAGGATCTGAATATCCTCATCGTCACACATGGATTGACATTGCGATTGTTGCTGATGCGATACTTTCAGCTGACGTGAGTGCCCCGCTGCGGCATCGTTACTTGCTGTTGTTGAATTTGGATCATAGGTAGCCTGACTTTTTGTGTACTTGCTTCTTCGTTCATGATGTGATTAGGGTCGACGAATTCGAGAATTCCTACAACAGTCAGAATGCCAAGCTTGTGATTATGGACCGACTTGTCCGAGAGGACAACTCTGAGTTCTTCCGATTGGATGACACTTCCACAGAAGCCTTGAATTTGAAAGGTGAGGTATCCAGCGAAAAACCCGTCTATTGGAGAGGGAGCGCGTTGGATGTTGACCCGTACAATGATGCCAGCGATTCCTGATGACAGGATGTATTATCCCTATATGATGATTCATTCATTCATTCTTGAGACAATTTTGTATATTGCATGAGTGGGAAAAGGCTGAAAACTTTATCTTCTGGCAAACCTGACAAGTAGTAAATACTAATTACAATTGGATGATGGTAACTCACAGAGGTACAGTTGCGAATATGCTGAAAATGCGGTCCATCCTTGGTCCAGCCATACATTATTTTCAGTCATTCGAACGGCCCTTTATCAGTACCCTTCATATGTTTCAATAACAAAATTCTATCGCATTATCTTATTTGTAAAACGATCGAGGTTATGATTTCTGCATTGAAACAATAAAAACAAATAATTGATGTCCCAATTATATTTTAATATTTTAAAATACATCATGCAAGTAATACAAGACCGTGGCATGGAAAAGGCAGAATCCTCATAACGGAAGAAAAACGAGCGTGGAAGAAACGCAAGATGATGAAGACGTCCATTTTGGCATTCAACATGACATTATATGCAGTCGACCCGGCTACTGGTACTATATTCAATATACCGGTACTATTCTACAATAATAATGCCATCCTCAACACGACCACAAGAACGTGAAAACAAAACACGAAAATGATGAAAGAGCGAAAAAGCCAGCACGTTGATCATCCCACAGCACACTACACCAACACCAAAACTTCTCACAATATTTCAAAACCGCGGATTGTAATATTGTTATTTCTCACTACAAGTATTTTGAAATTGAACCATGAAGATTTCCTGCAGCATCATCACTTTGGTAACCTTATTGTTGGGTTCTTTGGCATCTTTCGCCAAGGGCCAAGTAGCGCCGCTTTACGAGGCATTTGATCTCGGTTTCTGTCGAGTTGATCCGGGAGATCTCGGTATTGCTCATGATCTCGCTTACGTTTTGGGCTGGGATCCTAACACTGCAGTTGAATGTGATCAACTCTGTCGGGACAATGATCCTTTCCAAGGCTTGCGAGGTTTCTCGGAAGGAGGCACTTCCAATGCCTGCAGTTGCTGGTATGACAATGGACTATCTCCCGGAGAGGGTGGAAACTGCCCAAGCGTCTTTACTGGGTGCAACACTGCCCAAATAGGAACTGGCGAGATTGAAGCAACTGTCGATTGGGGGTTTGGACGAACATGCTTCAAGTATAATCGGTTTCCTGTGGGATCCGAAGCCAACGGCGATCCTCATTGTAAGAACTTCATGAATGGCACGAGTTGTTTTCACAGTATTGTTGGTTCTTTCTCATCAGTCTCACACCTTTATTTCATTTCTGTTTTCCAAATTCCGTAATACTAAATACAGTCCGAACCTGGAAGAACGAACATTTCGAGTTCCATGGACAGTGCGACATTGTCATGACCAAGGTCAAGAACTTTGCCAACAAGGACATCGATCTCGACATTCACCTTCGTACTAGCATGGTCCGATACTGGAGCTACATCAAGGCCGCTTCCATCCGTATTGGAAATGATATCCTCGAAGTTCAAGGCTCGTCGGCTGCCAAGGAAGATGGCGAGGACAAGCGTCATCACTGGATCAATTTTGAGTACCGTGGGGATATCGCGGACCTTGGTGGCTTTCCAGTCACTATTAGCCCTCGCAACGACAAGTACATTATCGATCTTGATAGTGCCTACCCGGGCCAAATGATTGAAATCAAGACCTACAAGGAATTCGTTGGGGTCAAGATTATCGGAGCTACCGAAGAATCGTTTGGCAATGCTGTCGGTATCACTGGCGATTTCAATACTGGCAATACCTATGCTCGCGATGGCAACACGGTGCTGAACGACTTCAATGAGTTGGGCATGGAATGGCAAGTCTTGCCAAGTGATGGCAAGCTCTTTCATGAAATGGCTCGTCCTCAATTTCCAGAACTTTGCTACCTTCCAGAAGATCCCCGTGGGGAACGTGGTCGCCGCTTGGATGAGTCTAATATTACAAAAGAAGAAGCGGAAGCTGCTTGTGCTGGCCTCGACGATGAATTTGATCGCAAGGGATGTATATACGACATCCTTGCCACTCAAGACTTGGACATGGTTGGAGCGTACTAAAGTGGAGTATACTATGCTGGATGTAGGTAGTTGCTGTAAGCATCGAAAGGTACCTGTGGGTGGATCTGGCACCTTTCGACTATGACTGGTCAGTTAGTGATAGAGAATAATGGTTTGAGATGATCCTTGATATTCCTTGCACCAAAAAAGCCTCGTCGTCATCCAATCATCATCATATAAAAACCTTGTCGGACAAGTGCAAGTCAAATCAAGATTGACAATAATACCGAATTTGGATTCACAAGGTCAACCAAGGAAGGTTGGAGCCAAGTATTTGAAACATACTGCTGAAACGGTACTGGTACGACTGTCGGAAGGATACGGGAACGAAGAACTTTTCAAATGGTGCACCACCTAATTGAGACAATGACTTGATTCTAAAGGTGCCAGTAGGCCATGACAGTTGAATTCGATTTCTTTCAGAGGAGCATCCTGGTGCTATTAGGGACGACTAAACGATACTAGTCAAGGTTGAAAAAATAGTTTCTGACGTTGGAAGTATCCATCACCTCTTTTTGTACAAGCGCTAGTCAATTTCCGTCCCTCCCTACACCCCGCACCCATTCTTCAGCACAGCTTGAAGTGATCCTAGGTGATGGGGACTGCAGCGCTTTCTCATGATCCGATGCCAAGGTTGGTAGTTAGGACAAAGTGCAACAGTGCTTGTTAAGGCAAAGGCATGATGCTGCTGGATCCGTGTGTAGTCTTCTTACCGGCACCGCTGGGAAAATCAATATTTACTCCCAAGAATTGTATGCTAATTTTCTATTTCCTGGCCGTTCCTGTCCCCCAAATCACCATTTTCACCATTTCAATGCCTTAGGACAGTACTAATCAAATGGAGATAGTCTACTTTTAGTGATGGCCCGCTGCGATTATTGGGTCAGACCACTAAAAATGGGTTATTCTTATTGATTCTGCTGATGCAAAGAAACTATTTTATTAGACTGTTGGCTGTATAGTGTACAGCAGTTGCAAAATAGCTGTACTTCATATTTCAATTCAGTTAGCTTTCACTACAAAGTACCTGTACAAGATCTTGTCATCACATCTTCTTTCCCCACCTATGCATGTGCGCAAGGGATTTCTTCATTGTCGTGACTTGGTTCCCCAGATTTCTTTGACCTCGTTTTTCCGTTACTCCCAACTATTTCATCTTTCTTATTTACAGGACTACTCCAAGGTGGTTTCCCAAGCGCTTGCGTCTGTCAGCAACACGCGCATCCAGAGGAAGTGCATAAAAGAGAAGCAATTCCTGAAGTTCCTGGCCAGTAGCCTGTGAGAGCTGGTTCTGATCTGCTGGAAACCACATGGATTGATTATAATCCCGAGGAGTGTTTCCATCCAACTCTCTACTCACTTGAGCAATTGCATCGGCAGTGGAACGACGGGAAAAATTTCTTGATTTCTGGGACTCGATCGTGATGCGTGTCTGCATTTGCTGCATCTGAGTCTGCATCTGGGTCTGCATTTGCTGCATCTGGGTCTGCATTTGCTGCATCTGGGTCTGCATTTGCTGCATCTGGGTCTGCATCTGGGTCTGCATCTGCTGTGCCCACGCAGGAGTCGGACCGTCCAAATGCGCTGATTCCACTTTACGCTTGCGGCGTTTTGCTTCGAAAAGTTCGTCCATAGTGATGAGGTGTGGATGATGACGACGTAAGAGCTTGCGGGTCTCGTACTGTTGGGCTGCAGCTATGATATTGTGCAACAAAAGTGGATCGCCCGACACTACAGCCGCCGCTGTGATCTCAGGATGTCCAGAATCCAATGGGTCAAGAGCGGGAATAGCTTGTGCGTACGCTGTATTCTCGGTGGATCGAACGAGGCTGCAGTATCTCTACAGGTTTGGTTTGTGAATAAGAGCGGCTGTCTTGTTTTGTTCTTCTCCCACGCACGGCAGCTCAAATGAATGCAATTTTTATTAAAAACGGCAAGGCTATGAATTTAGTTAACTTTATCGTGTCACGTGACACTCCTTGCGCGGCCCGTGCCCCACGCAAAAAAGGTACCAGGTACCTGGTACCAAGTACATAGCATGTAGCTGTGGCAATTTCGGAAAAATGCTGGAGTGGCCGGCGCGTTCTCACAGCTGTTCGAATGTTTCTTTTTTAAAATAAAAGCAGCGCGTTAATTCAACGTTTTCGTTATTGCTACCCGGGGATATTATCGTAGTGGGCTACTATTTACTTAGGAACGAAAGATATTCATGCGCGCATTCTAAATATTTTTAGCTATATATTTCCCATAGTACTATCCATCAGTTAAGTACGTCGACGTCTCAACCGATCCGGCAAATTCGACATGCCCCATCGTGCCTCTTCCCTCAAAATCATCATTGGTCCCTCATTGTAAAGTTCAATTCGTCAACACAACATTCCATCGCATCACAAAAACAATGCCCACTCTTGTAGATGCTCTTTTAGATGTCGAGACTGGCGAAATTGCTTCACCAAATGAGGCGCAGCTTGGACGATTCCCACACAATCTAGGCGGAGCAACAAGAACACCTTGTCAGAATGGGGCAAACATGGCCATCACAAATCCGAATCGTCATCATAGTGATAGTTACAGTGAAAGCGAAAGCGAAAGCAACTTTTGGAACAACTATTGGAACAACTACTGGCACGACTATTGGAAGACGAAGATGGGACCCCAATCGCAAAACCAGAATGGTTTTGCGATTGGCGTATACAAGGGAAAGTGAAGTCCGCATGGGCACTTTGAAAGGCGTCCCGAATTGGATGCTCGACAATGTCAAGACTGCCAATGAGCTTGATGACGACGATGATGAAGACTCCCACGATGCATCCGATTTTGTCCAAGACATGCGTCACTGCGTTGACAAAGCCATGTCAACTGCCAATGACAAAGACTCTTCCTTGAATTTTGCTTTCTCATGCAAAGCCCCACCTGTCATTGTCATTGCAATTCATAATATCAGTGAACAGTTTGGCCATAGACGACCTCCGAGTACATCTGCAACACTACCAATGACTCCAGATTTTGTGAAGAAGATTGAGCGGTACTATGAGATATTTCCCCAAGGCTCATGTCAGTTTGAGTTTCCCAAAGACTTGAATAAAGACCCAAGTCCAAACTATCATCAACTGGAAGGGCAGAAGATTATCTATTTGGATTGGAATCTGTGCCATCCTGATGTGATACTGCCATGTCCAGTCTGTGCATACAATGTGCGCAATGGCGGTGCTGCATCACACTCTGACTCATTCTTGGTGCACACACGCTGCAATTTTCGGAAGAACCAAGGAAGTCTCTTTCCAATATGGAACTTCGATGGCTCGATTACTTGGTGTGCAGTCATGGTTTACCAATGTCAACATTGTGAGGAAAACGTCAGTGGTAATGATGGCCGTCTACTCAATATGCTGCCGCCCCATGTTTCAGCAACATATCCTGTATTGCCCAAGTATGCTTGCGGTGGATTTCACTTACACAAGGATGCAAGCAGATTCTTAGAGTCCATGATGAAGACATATGGAAATGGGGACATGGTCAGCAATTTGCTGCAACAATCTGTTGGTATCCACTATACCCAGAAGGCAGTATCATACCTGAGCAAGCATCCTAGTCGCCCTTTCATGAAGTTGGAAGAGTTCACAAACGGCAATTGGCCTCCCAGTGGAGCTACACTGCGACGACTCTTCGAGAGTGCAGAATACTCTCCTCTCAACATTTATGGATACTCTAATTTTGAGCGGTACACTCGAGAATGTCAAAGTGTGACAGTGGTGGAAACGGAATCCATTGCAACGGACCACACCTTCCAAGTCACCAATGCCTATGGTAACAAGGAAGGGATGAAAGCAATGTTCACCTGCATCAAAGCGCCGTCAAAGGAGATGGTCGCAATAGTAGGGGTGCCCTCTACAAAACTCCAAGATGCCGCACATTGCTTGAAGCAGAGCTGTATCAAACGTGGAATGAAGCCGTCGGTTATCTCAACTGACACGATGCCACATGGAGAAGAGTTTTGGAAGGAACTCTATGGAGAAGATATACATTGTCAACTGGGTCTTTTCCACTTACTCACAAGAATATATAGCACCTTGGATCGCCGTTCCAATCTCTTTGGGGAGTGCTTGCTTGCATTGAAAGAATGCATCTATAGATATGATCCGGCAGATTTGAAGAATGTGAGGGAAGCGCTCAAGGCTGGAACTCTTTCAAACGAAGGGAAACAGTACACAGATGCAGAAATTGATGATATGCAACGCACCAAAGTTTTCTCTCGCCGTTATTCCAAGTACCTGAAGAAAGAGTTCCACAGTGCAGTTCAAATTCAATCCAATCTTGCTGCTTGGATTGAGAATTGGGATCATGAGGAGGACGATTTCCAGAGACCTGTTTTTACTTATAAGACAGCAGATGCTACAACGAACCAGTATGACAAGATTAGCTATGTACTTGACTGCATGAGAGCTGAAACCTACACTGCAATCCCGGCACCACCAGGTTCAAAACATGGGCTTCCAACATTCAAAAGCAACCGCCCCGAATCCATGTTGGAGAAGTTCCATGAATTGTTGGCCCACTACTGCAATATTGGGTGTGGCGATGAATTTGCAAATGCTATAATAATGAAAGGATGGGCGGAGTACAATGTCACTGCAAGACACCGCTACTACTGCATGAGAAAGCGATCTGCAAACCAACTTGAACAACTTCGAGCGCTTGATATAACTCCTACGTTCCTTGACCATTCTTTGTTACACTGCATCAATGAACAGTCACGGGATCTTGGACATGGTGATCTGTTTAGCAACTATGAGAAACCACCCAGTAAGAACAACGGTGAAGTATTCCTCAAGAACTACTTCAACCAACAGGTGGAACGGAACAAGAACCAATTGTTTGACAAAGACTCAAAACAGTGCACTTGCAATGAATGCAAGATCCCAGCTGGGCCTCCTACAGAGATTCCTGCAGTGCCTGCAGCTGTTGTTGAAGATAACAACTCTCGTCTACTCACTTGTCAACTCACTTGTCAAATGGACTTGATGGCACTTGATGGGACTTCTACTGCCACCAATGCAGTGACAGAAACGCCTCCAATGCAGGTAGACCCACCAAGGCGTCGACAAACCTTTGGATACTGTTTTCCTTTCCATCCATACCGGTGCGATGATCTCCAAAATTATGTCAAGAGAAGACAAGCTGGCGAGATGGTACGTGGAAGACCACCACACAGTTTCAACTGTCCTACTAAGTCAATGTTGAAGGGCTGGGCTCCAGTTGATTGATTTTGTTCTTTCCAGCTATTCTTTGAAAATTAATAGTCACATTCGAATAGTACATAAATTATAGCTACATTCTAATATTCCTTGTTCCCAATTTTCCCGCAACATGTTCTACGCAAAAATTACACCATAGAAATATGCAGAGAATATTTTGTTCACCATATAAAAAATATATCTGTCGCGCGTTTCAGGAATCACACCATATAATCTCGAAATTCAACATTATTGAACTAAAAATGGCTTTCAAACCAATTTTGATTGGTCAGTATTTCGACTGGAGCAAGAACGAATTTTGACAACAAACCAATACGTCAGTCTGCACTTCATCACGCAGATGACTTCTGCTTCTACTCGTCGTATCATCAAAGGTGAAATACCGGTACAGCGTACAGACAGTGAGGACTCCAAGAAAGACGGTCCTGCTGGCGCAAAATCCAGGCAAAAGCCCCCTCTGCCCCTCTGAATTACATGTCTTGCCCCCATCAAGCGCATTTCTTTTACTTAAGGATAGTGGACCATGTACGACATGAAATATATTCAACGGATCAAAAAGCGTCAGATGGAATTCAGAATTTCCTTTCTCCTTTTTTCTCCTTCCCTTTCTTTTTTCCTTTTCCCCTCGTCTTTTGTCCCCCAATAGGAGCCTAATACCCCCCCAAAATCCTACCTGGGCAACCATGCCCCAAAGGCAGCTGTCAAGCCAACGCCAACTTCCACCCAGGTAGGAACGCCTTGTAATTGAGTTGTAAAAGATAATCGGGTGGGATTCTGGAAGACTTTGCCAGCAGTAATACTGCTCTATCCGAGCCTCGAGCTCAAATGATCCTGTAACTTTCGTCGACAGTGAATCCCGCATGACTCACTCGCAGACCAATTAAACGACTCACTCGGAACTCGGAGACGTGCGGGAAGATGATGACGCCGGATGGATGTTTCTTCGTTTGCACCGATTATCGAACCACCAAGACGTTGGATTCATCACGACAGCAGCATCCCACTCCCACAGAGCTATTTTCTTCACTGCAGTCTGATACGAAGCAGCGTGCGGTAAAGCTAAAAGGTCAACAAGAAAGAAAAACAAAAAATGAGCCCACGATTGGACGACGTCTACGCAGACGAGAATCATCGAGTTGAGGAATCATCATCGTCCTCACCTTTGCAGGAGACATACTCTCGCTCTCGGATTTCGGCGATACTAGCCCAGTGCGACGTAGTGAAAAGATCGTCGGCAGCATATCTTTCCACAACTGATTCCTCCTCCGCTTCTTCAGGTGACTCCGCCGTGTCATGTGGTGGTGCCGAGTCAGCACAGCATGAATCTCCAGAATCTCCTCCCTACTTGTTCGCAGACCATTGTCGGAACTTGTACTTAAAGACAGAAAATACAGATGATCATCAGTACTGGTACTGCGATTGGACCAACTACTTTGTACCCTTCAATCACACGAATTTTCGAAACGAATTCAAGAGTTTTCCAAAGCTGGAAAATGTGGTCAAGGACTATTGCCAACCCTTTCGCACCCACGCCGAATTGCAAAACATGTATGTCGGATTGGATACAGAATCTATGCCACGCGTGACCGTCACGGAAGGAGGCAAGGATGGTCCAGAACCCTATGCAGTACGAACGACAATGATTCATTTGCGACCGGATGCCAAACAGAACTTGATTCTGCAAGCAGTGCACCAGGCCTTCATGGCGTTGCACCCAACATATTATCATATCATTAAGAGTACCATGCATGAGTTCCAAGCATTGGGCGGTCATGGAACCGTTTCTTTGGTATTGGTGGCGAATGTAGTTACGCACAAAACGAGTTTGGAACGTCATCTTTTGTTGCGATTTTATCATGCAGAACAGCTGGGCGAGTATCTGACGGAGAGTCAGCTTGATGATGATTTGGAAATTGAATTGGATCTAAATAAGGGACGAGCAGAAGAAAAGAAGAAGATAAAGAATATCGTTATCAACAGCCGAGAGGATCAGCCAATGTCGCCACTCAAGAGTCAGCATACAAGATTGAACGAACTCATATCAGAGGCTTCGGCTTTGGTCAAGCTTGTCCAACGACATGGATTTCTACCTTCACACCAAGCTCCAGGACCAACCCAGGAAGAAACCTCACGAATATTACAATCCAAACATGGTCAAAGTTTCACTTCGAAATCCGTGCTGTCCGTCTTTTACAAGGATGTGCGAAACTTGTTTCCTTCTTTATCGACCAAGGATAAACAGGTACTACAAGAATCTCACTCCTTGATGGAACGTATTTGGTCGGAATTGGAAATGGTTAAAGCCACTCATAACACTCTCATCACGGAATCTTCCTCAAGATTTGGAATGAGGCCTTGTCAACCCAATTTGGATCGAGATTTCTGCTTTCACCTAGCTCAGATATCACAGCACAATATGCTTGCAGATTTGGCTCAGCAAATGGAAAAAGCAGAGACCATATTGCATGAAGCTCTTATGGAGTACGCCGACTTTGAAGCCTATCTCAAGCAGGTTATGCTGAATGACTATCTCATTCGACTCAACAACAGCAAGCACAAAGACAAGAACAAGTTCAATCCAGATCATTCGTTGGACATGGGACAGGCTCCCATTCATATGAAGAAGCGAAAAATGGAAGAGTTTCCTTGGGACGATGTGGTGCGTAGAGCTCTGGACGAGGTGGCGCATCAAGTGGCAGCCAACTGCTTGGAAGCCTTTCGCCCAAAAGAGTCTTTGCAAATGTCAATCGATGCAACGCATCGTGTTTTTGTAGCCTTTGGTAAAGCTGATGATCAAGATCAATCCCAATTCTTGAAAAAGCTGTCCCGAAGGAACATGATAAAGGTGACTCAACAGCAAGCTCGAGTGAAATTACTGTTGGAAAAGATCATCCTTCTTCCACATTCCCATCCACATATACCGAGAGTAAAGCAATTGTCGAACCACTGGTACGAACTGACACTACAATCGAAAACCAGTAACATTCGTCGGGGTCCCATCCCCATTCTAAATTTTCAAACCAAATTCGGAGGACAGGGTTGCATCACAAGTCATCAATTGATATTGGTCAAAGGAGTTTTTCGAACCGAAGTCTTGGTATGGGACTGGATGGATATTGACCTTGCTCATACTCCGGATCATCCTTTTGCAAAGGTCGCTGTTCTTGAAAATGGAAAACGAATCAGTGGATTCAATCCTCTCGGTGTTGATCCAGCTAAGATCGTAAAGATGGCCCAAACGCTGAAGGGGTTACAGGAGTAGTAAAGACTCATGACGAGAAGAACAGGGTATTAAGAACTAGTGCAAGAGAGAAAATGTAGGCTAGTTTATTTGAGAAATGCTTCTTTAAATTCCAACGAATGCAAACATGCACTGGTAGCGACCCGTCTACATGATTGACAGGCATCCTTGGAAATGAGTGTCTCCAGCCCTGACGGTTACTGCCAATTGCAAACTACGAGAGCCATCCAGTGAACGAACATAGAGTCCAGAATTGGAACTAGACACTTCCAATGCGTGCAAGAGACGAGCGGCTCCGACCACTGAAATTCCATGGCACGTCCCCCGACCCAAAGAAAAGGAAGCAATAGTGACATGGCCCAAACGAATAGATTCAAAACGCACTTCATCTCCTGACTGCATTGCACCCTTACCCGCAACTTGTACATGACAAACTAGCATGGCTGGAAGCGATAACGAAGATCGTAGGCCAAAACAACTTTGTTTCCATGCTTCGCTATTTTGTTTGGGCAACGGTGGGGCTTTCAGAACATCGTTCAGAGGTCTCGCTCTTCGGCGGTTTCGTTTTCCCAGCCTATCGGTTCCAACCGAAGCTTCGTTTTGGCCTGAAGATTCAGGAGGCTGTTGCCCGCATCCTTGGAGAGCCTGCACGAAAGGTTGCACGAAGGCTCCACGAACCACCACAGTAGACGTGTCATCGTCGGATTCGGTATCGTCTTTTCCATTTTCGTTCATTCCTTGCTCTTGCTGAATTGATGACTGGCCGTCTTCCTTCTTTTGTGAAAACTTTTCGTCCTCTTCCGAATCTTCAAGGGAAACCAGGCGGCTCCAGTAGATTCGACACATTTTTACCGAAGTAGGTTTGACGGAAAGTCTACCCCATCCGCCTTCCCAAAGTCGCCGGACCAGATTTCCAGACGGTGCAGTACCTTCCGCTTTGGATGCAGCTGTACTAGGGCTTTTCGTATTTCCTTTCCAATACAGTTGCCCCTGAGGCGTATCCACGTAATCTCTGGGGAACATGGGAATTGGTGGACTGCATTCCAATTTCAAGTGACTTTCTTCCACCATACCCATAGGGCAGCAAGGTCCAGCCAGAACGAGCTTCATCCAAATCGCTTTTGCCAATGTGGGATCAGCACAGTGAATCTCCCATCCGGAAACGGCTTGGTTGGGCAAGCATTTTAGCTCCCGTGGCGCTTGCCAAATCAACAGTGCCTGGTTCGGCCCAATCTTGGATATCATTGTCTCTCCACCCCCCTTTTCAAGATTCATTTGCTCTATACTTCTCTGCATTTGAGTCACATGTACATGCAATCCCTCCAAAGATGGCGACCTTTCTTTTAGGTTCGTCTTTGACCCTTGAGAGTTGCCGTCAAGGTGCAAAGTAACATGGAACATGGATCCATGCGGCAAGCAAGTCTCGGGCACTTGTTCGTCCGGTACTTTAGACCAGTCCCAGCAAGTGAAAGCCGTAGTATCTCTAACGTGCGTCGGTTGGAGCACATTTCGAATGATGTTCGTGGCCGAGCTCCCGCATAATTGAAAGCATGAATTGCCAATGACATTCGAGGATTCTTCTAATTGGATCTTTGATTCCTCTGTCATGATTTGTTCCATATTGTCGCTGAAATCATCGTAAATGGAAGGATGAACAAGGAATTGAACCATCCAACGGTATGATTTCGCTTCATTCTGACAGGACACTTTCCATCGAACAGGACCGATAGCTTGCATTGGAAATTGATCCAGACGATGCAGCATTCCACTTCCCATCTGAATTCCGGCAAAAACCGATTGGTTTGTACCAAAATCTGGGCACATGCGTGACAGTAGAGGCACCAGCGAAGACAGCGGCAAGTCAGACGAGATTGCCAATGTTTGCCGTTTCCAAGTAACATCTTGGAGGCTGCATCGATTTTCCTGTTCCAAGCGTAGCATAGCACGGCCTCCCCGATTCGAGTGGCATAAGGGTACTCGCCATCCCCACAAGGTCTCCATATGAAACCGCTTGGCGTGCCATAAGTGCGTCACCATCCAATTTGCCACGTGTGTTGTTGTTTCCTCTTTCTTCTTGACAGGGAGTTCATTGTGCTGCCATTCAAAATGCCCTTGACAGAGCGTCGATCTCCTTCCACGTTTGGCTTTTCGTGTCGTCGACTCTGACGACGGCTGGTTTCCCTTCGGATAGCGATGTTTGTGTTTCTTTCGTTCCACTGCCGTCGTCCTTCGCCTTAGATGTCGACTGGATGTCTTGGCACCTCCACTTCGCAAGGCCACTTCTGGTTGGACCTGCGAAGGCTTGCTGTTTTGACTACTCCCATGTCTATCCTGAGAACCACTTTGTCCGTTAGCAGCATTTCGAAGTTGGGCATGGAGATCTCTCAATTCGGGCAATCGACGAGACGCAAAAAGACTGACAGAAACTGTAGATGATTTGTCCAAGAAAGCTGGTAAGTCCTTCCACGAAGGTTGAGAAGAACGCTTCCGTTTTCGACAAGATCGAACGGTGGCTTCTGTTTTTTCACTCATGATATGTAGTGTATGGTATTGACCACGGATGCAGGCATCGAAACAATAGCATGAACATTCGATTCGTTTCCGCTGCCTTGATTTAGGTTCTGGGTGAAATATATTGGTGTCCGTTCGGTGTTCGGTTGCTGTCCGATCGTCGTATTACACGTGTACGATGAGGCGGGTTTTCCAAACTGTGAAAATATGATTTGTGATTTGTGATTTATTGTTTAATGGAACTGAAAGTTCAATTTCTACTAAATATTCAACTCGCGCAAAAGTCGCCAAAAACACCAACTCCATAAATGTGAGAGTTTCGGAGAATGGAAGAGATGGAGGCCATGCTACCAAAAAAAACAGTTTACACCCGCTTTGTGGCGGTTGATACCCGTTCGTTGAACCTTGTACGGGGGGAAATGAACGATCGACTCAACTTGCCCAAGAAGGCCGAGGAGATCTTGGGCAAGAAGGCGAATTTGAACAAGATGACCAAGGCCGAGAGAGCCAAGTGGGCAAACAAGGCAAGGGCCAGAAGAAGCAAAGGCCAGAAGGAGGAAATATCTGAAAAGGAGATCGATTTTGAACCAACCCTTCTTGTCATTATCGAAGAACCAAAGAAGGAGGAAGAAGAAGTCGACGACGTGAACGAGAAGAAGGAATTCAAACCTTCCCTTCTTGTCGTTATCGAAGATCCAGAGGGAGAAGACTTGAATACCATGGACGAGTCGTCTTTTGATGCTGGATTGATTAATGACGACTTCGATTCTTTGGAGCAGGATGGTAGCGATGGCGAGATTTTTGCATCACCAACTGAGCAATCTGACAAGGCAGCTACGAATGATATTCCTTCTGATGGAATGGGATCTGGATGGACCGAATCTGGAAAGCGCTACAGCCGACGGCTACAGCTCAAGCTTTCGCCAGATAAGAAGGATCCTTCTACTGAAGCTTTGGGATCTGGCATGACGGAAAAAGGACGACGATACAGTCGCCGAGTGGTAAATCGAAAGGTGCCAAATAAAGCACATTCTTGCTACGGCTTGGAAAGAGATGAAGTATGATAATAGTGTGCGACAACACACGAACAACCCATCAGGGAGTGTCACCTGGAAATTCACCCCATCAATTGCATTTACTTTTTCAACCATGATCATCTCACTTTTTTTTCTTTTCTCTTTTAGGACATTTTGGCGAAAACACATTTTCGCATTTATTTTATTGTCACACTTCCAAGGGATCCTTCGGAAGGCCAGTGTTTGCCTTTGTGGTTTCTAGTGGATTGGTCACTCACTAGGTCGCATCGGCGACGCGAAACCAGATGATTTCATGGCTTGCTGCGACTGGGTGCTTCCCTCCAGTCTTGTTTGGCCACCTAAAACGAATCAATCGTTTGGGTGGGACGACGGGGGTGGGATGGGCAGGTCGAGGCTCGTAAGCGCATCCTGATCAGCAAGATCCCAGATAAGTGGTCCCTTTAGGATTTGGGATTGGCGTACCTACTTCAAGAACAAGATCATCGATTTGAGATTACTATTTCCAAAGGAAAGCGGAAGCCTCGCTTGGGACATCAGTGTCATGTGATCCATCAGCCACCCTGCTCTAATATTGGGAGCAAGCGATATCCGTCAGACATGTGAACAGCCGTTGTTGCCAATAATAATAATTTTTATTGCAATACTCGGTGGTGCATGCAGTATCGTGATGATGGCACTGGACTGAACATCGCAACAAGGGGGCAACGGCGTCTTCCACCATTTTAAACTAATTACTACTATAATTGTAGTACAGTACCAGATTGGCATGTCTTATTGTCATATATACATATTCGAATTGTGGTCTTTTGATTACCTTTTGCAGCGCTAGTACTTTAGAATAAACTCAGCTATATATCAGATTTTTGTACCATAAAATGTTGCAGAAGAATATTTTCGACTTTTCGGTACACATAAATATGGCGTGAAACAACATTCTCTAACTGAAACTATTATTTTAAAAAATGACCCGACTACACGAAAAACTGGGCATAATTTAAATATATGGCGTGAAACAACATTCACCAACAAACAAATGTTTACTATATATATAACGCTATAAATGTGACCTTGTACTGCCTTCGTCCGTCAAATAGTAATGAAGTTTTGCTGTGTGGTAGAGTAAGAACTAGATATGTACCAGGTACCTTTGTACGAATACTCTGGGCTAGTAGTGTACGTGTATACCGTATTAAGCAAAGCTGCACTGGTGGGAAAAGAAGACGGGCCACTTTTTGCAGATTAATATGGCATATATATGAGACAGCACCGTTGTCATGTTGGCAGTCACGTCACTCATATATTTGATGGTTCGAATCATCGTCCATCTAGTATCATGATCCTATGATCATCCATCAGTACTAGCTAGCTCCTACTAGTACTTCAATGTCTGATTTTTTTCAGGGATGGGAACTTTTACGATGCATATCCAGGGATGGGAACTTTTACGATGCATATCCATGATCCACTTCAAAAACAACGAATCAATCTGACGAACATTTTAATTCTTCAATTTGAGACTCATCACTTTTATTACAATCCTATTCTCGTCGGACGGACTATCATCAGAACTAACATAGCTCCCTCCATGATCTTGACTTTGACCTAAAATATTTTGCTCGAGAATGTGTGAATCTAATGGATTTCAGGTAGGATCAATATGATTATGTAGTTAAGTTATATAGAGAGATATAGTTGATGAGTTGTGATGTCAAGAGATCCCTTCTCTTGACGTCCTTTCTTGAGGTCATTATTCATTCTCCCATCTTCCGTTAGGTCGGCGTACAGACTCTGAGTCCGAATATTCCAACACTCCCTCTTGGGAAAGGAAGTAATGACCAAAATGTTACCAACCGATAAGGAGGTAGCGGAGAGCAACGAAGGTGGCGGCGTCGAGTGGTTTTGTTCCGATATCGGCCAATTGATCTTTTGTGTCGATTTTCTGAATGGAAACTTCCCCTTTGCGGACCGACTTCTTGAAGTGATGATACTTGATGTTAATGTGTTTGGTGCGTGGGCGAAGTTTGTCGGCTGTCGCGAGTTCGATTGCTCCATTATTGTCCTCGAAAGCTTTACATTTGAAAATCGGTTTGGTATAGTTGAAAGATTTGATTCTCTTTGCGAGTTCTTTGAAAAATCGGATTAAAACGAGCACAGTTCGCAGTGCCTGGGAAAGACAGATGTATTCGGCCTCCGTGGTGCTTAAAGCGATCTCTGTCTGCATCTTGGAATGTGAATAGATCAAGCAATTGTTAAACATGATATGGTAAGCTGTTCGCGATTTTGCAGTTGCTGGGTCTTCGGCGCTGTGTTTGTTGAAGCCGCCTGCAAAATCTGCGTCCGCATATACTTCAAAGCCCTTTCCAGATTTTGGCTTCATGAACATACCCTTGTCGCGTGTGTCGCGAAGGTAACAGCAGATTCTCATTACGGCATCCTCGTGGGATCTCTTGGGAAAGGCCATGAATCGTCCGACTTGAGAGACCGCAAAGATCAATTCAGGTCGCGTCGATCTTGCCAGCCAATTTAGCATTCCAATTACAGAACGGTAGTCCCAATGAAGTTGACGCGTTAGCCCACCTTCATCTTTGTGTAAAACTTTGTTTGCTGGTGTTCTGACTTCTCGTCGTGCTCCGCGGTCCAGGTCGATGTTTACCGTTTCAAGAATGCGTTGGATCAAGGCGGGTTGGGTCAATTCTCGACCTTCGCTCGTCTTGGTCATTTTGATTCCGAGATATTCGTTCAAATCGCCTTCGTCCGTTAATTTGTACTTTTGTCCGAGCCGTTTGATGACGTCATTAATTTCGCGTCCGTTTGGACCCATCAAAATTGCATCGTCCACATAAACGATAAAAATTGTCTCGCCCTTATAGAAGACTGCTTTGTCGACCTTCGATTGTTTGAAACCGATGTCCTTCAGCCCCTTTCGGAGAAAATCGAACCATACCTTGCCCGCCTGCTTGGCCCCGTAAAGGTTCTTCTTTAATAAAAGAACGTTTTGTTCGTTGTACTCTGACCCGTCCACATAGCATTCTCGCGGAATTTCCATGTACATTGGGCATTCAACTTCTGCTTGTGGGAATGCAAGGACAAAGTCGATCTGTCGCGTTGTCCAACCATTCATTATAGCGAGTGTTAGTAGGCTTCGAATCGTTTCCCATGCAACAACTGGTGAATACGTATCCCAGTAATTCACGCCTTTTTCTTGTGAACTCCCATCAATGCATAGTCGTGCCTTCCATTTGTAAATTTCGCCAGTTCCAACACGGCGTTTTCGTTTCATTGACCAAACACCTCGCATCGCTTTGTGCCCTTGTGGCATAGATTTTCTTGGAACTATCTCCCAATGACCTCCTTTCGTATGATCTTCAATTTCTTTGACCATTGCGGTGTGGAAGTGAATCCAATCTCTTTCTTTCTTCGCTTGGTGCAGGTACATTGTATCCTCATCTGCTAACGTCGCTGCAAAGGCCATTGGATTGGCAGTGATGCATTCGTCCACTAGTTCTTCTGCATGGACTTCCCTTGCAATGACTGTCCTGTAAGAACGCAAAGTTAGTTCAAATTCAAGACGCTTTTGGTCGAGGGTACTTGCTGTGTTTTCTTCCCTGTCGTCTCTCCCTCGCTTGCGCTTTTGAGAGAGAGATTTGTGGGTCTTCAGTGCTTGGATTGTACGGGTTCCCGCATTGTCCTCCCTCTGAAGAGCTGGATGTTTGAAAGTCGCGCTATCAAGTAACGGTGTTGTTGGACCTTTGGCCTTTCGGGAGAGTCGTGGCAGCAAATTTGGGCTGGTGTCCCGTTGACTCTCCCTCATTTCTCGACCTTGGGTTTGACCTTCAGCCTTTCGGGAGGATGGAGGCAGTGAATGTGTGCTGGTGGTCCTCCGGTTCTCCCTCATTTCTCGACTTTGGGTCTGGTGGGAGAGTTGAGGCAGCAAGCTGCTGGTGTCCCTATAACTCTCCCTCTGAGGCAGCAAGTCTTTGCCGTTGTCCCTCGGATTCTCCCTCTGAGGCAGTAAACTGGTGTCCCTCGGGGATGGCTTTCCGTTCTCCCTCTGAGGCAGCACGTTTCTGCTGGTGTCCCTCGGGTTCCCCGTTCCGCCAGTTTGAGCTAGTCTATCTTGACCGTTACGCTCAGTTGTCGAGAGCTGTCGGCTTTGTGCTTCCAGGTGTCCTCTCTCATCAATGGTCTCTGATGTTGGAGTCGAGAGCTCGTGGCGCTTTGCTTGGAGGTGTCCTCTCTCGTCAATCGGCTCTGACGTTGGAGTTTCGGTACCACTTGACTCTGGCACCTGAGTGTGAGATATTTTTCTTCTTTTGTTTGCTTTGGGCTTCTTTGTGGATCTCTTCTCATGAATTCGAGTCAATCCCTGCCACCGTCCAATATTCTTCATTGCTGGGATGTCTGTCGTCTCGAAACGTTCGTCGTGCGTCACATGAAATTGAGGTGAGGTCAATCCTGTGTCAGGGTTTAGAACAAGCGATACCGAATTTGCGTGTTCGCGTGAGAGGCCAAGGAAAATGCCAATTCGCGCCCTATCACACCATTTGTTTTCCAAGGAGCTTCCACTCTGTAGTTTTGGATCCAGATTGTAGATGGGACAACCAAAAGTATGGAAGACGTTGACATTTGGTTTGTCATCAGAATCAACAAATTTTTGAAGGGCTGTCCTGTGTTCTCCCTCTCGAAGAGTGGAATTGCGGATTTGGGAAGCGTAAACCATAGCGAAACCCCAAAGATGCGCTGTGATGGCCGCTGGCCAGTTGTGCTTTGCAAGGAGAAGCATGGAGCGAGCGGAGTCACGAAGGTCACGGATACGCTTCTCGGCTTTGCCATTTTGATGATGAGCATTGACTCCGCAGAAGGTGTGTGTTTGGTGTGCAGCTTTGCATGCTGCCTTGAAGGAATTATCAGCAAAAACTCCGTTGTCGCAGTGATAGTGTTGGATGCGCACACCGTAACTGTTTGCATGGCGTTCAAACGCAAGTTTGGCTTCAAGAACTGAGTTGGCATCGTTGTATTGGTGAAGGTGCACGTAGTCCAGGTCACTGTAGTGATCAACAAAGACTGTAGCATAATGAAATCGTGCTAGAGTGGGGTGTCCGCGAAGTTGGGGCATCAGACCTGGGACGCTAGTGGAGCTCATGGTGTCGCCCGACACGACCGATCCAGGCTTGGTTGCTTGACGTGGAGTCTTGCGACTGCCGTCTTTCTTCTTGGAGCGATGTCGCCATTGTCGTCGGGTTGCCTTTCCAAATTGACAACGGGGGCAGAATGGGAATTCTTTGATAGTTGCGAGCCGACGATCGATGAGGCCTTCTTTGGCACTGGCTTTGAGGTGCTTGAAAGGCATGTGTCCGAGGCGGTAGTGCCATCGGAGCAAAATAGTCTTTTTATCCGTCTCATTTAGCGATGGTAGAGTTGCTTCTGGCGCTGTATCATCCCATTCACCAGTGAGGAGGGATTCAAAATTGAAATCTTCAAGGACTGCTGGTGGCTCTTCAAAGTTATCGACAAAGGTCTTGGCAAGGCTTGGTGCTGTAGTCCCGTGCAGGTCGAAAGGATCTTTTTCCTTGGGGTCGCAATCTTGACATTGTCGTTCTGATGGAGGATTGGGGTGTGTTCCGTCAGGGAGGTGCAGATCTTGGAAGGTCAAAGCTGTTGGTCGGATCCGTGCTTCTTGTGCCGTAATGTGCTGAGATTTGAGGTGTGAAGAGAAGGAAGAGTAGCCGGGCTTTGTCATCAGGAGCGGTAGGTTTGTTTCGCTGTCAAATGGGACAGTTCGGACGCAATTGTTCTCAAAACGTAGTTCCACGGTGTCACCACACACATTGAAGTTTCGGATTGGTTCCATTCCCTTTCTTTTAGTTGGACCTTGCTTTGACCATTGGCGTGGACTCAGTAAAGTCAGCTTCAGTCGTGGAGCATAGTAGGCATCGTGTATCAGGTGCTGATGCGTGTGCCCATTGTCGTCCGCGAAAACCAATTGCAGAGTGCCTTTTGCAACGATTGGGATGGAGCCAGAGGCTCCTTCCAATTTCATACCCTTCACTGGAGTCAATTTCCCAACGAAAAGGTGCCTTATGCCACCGACTGTTGAGGATGTGCAGCTGTCGACCCCAACTGGAATTGAGTCGTGTTCGAAAGTCGCGTTCATGGCTCTGCAGATGTGGGCTTGATAGCTTTTAAGATGAAGTTCTGTTTTTATATCTTCCACTGAACTCAAGTCGATTATCTGCTTGCCTTGCCGTCAATCGAAACCTTCGTCCTCCAAAGCAAAATATCCATCGTCCGTCCTGCTTTCGTTGTCCGACCCGTCGTCTGAGTCGCTTGTGGTAGTGATCTCGGCCGTGAGTGCTGAGATTCGCGTCTCAAGGGCTTTCACTTTCAATCTCTTCTGTTCTTTGGTGCTAGGCTTCTTTATGGGAGTTCCAACTCCGCTGCACGTCTTGGAGTTGTGCTTTCTACCGTCGCGTGATACCGCAAGTACCATCTTCTTGTGATGCTTACACCAATTCCATTCCCTCATGGACCCGCTTTTGTTGGCTTTCTTGATGATCTTGTCCTCATCGCCGGCTTTTGGAGGGGTAACAAGCCAGGTGTCAAAGTCCCCATTATCTTTGTCCTTGCGGCCATCGGCCTTGGGCTTCTTGCTTTGTTTGGGGTCAGTTGGAGGCTGCTTCCGCTTGCTCCCAAATTTTTGGATTTTTGCGGTGTAGTCCTTAATAATCTCCCTCTTGTCCTTCGCCTGGCTAGCCGAAAGGGACATGATCTGTTGTTTCTGTGAGGGAAGGTGCCAGAGACCCTCTGAGACAAGATTGTTGTACTTGGTCTCTCCTTCCTTCATGAGGTCTTCGTGCGGTATTTCGGGCATGTTGTTTTTGATTGACATAAAGGCCCTGAATTCGTCTTGATCAACTTGATTGTATCCTTGCGCGAGGGCGTTGTAGGTCATGACTTCGTTTAAGCTAGAGGAGCCTCCCATAGCTCGGATCTTGGCCTTAAGTTCGTTGAAACGTTGATTAAAAAGGATGATGCTGTTGCCATGCTCGATCGGGGACAAAGTTTGTAGGTCGTTAATTAGGAATTGTATCGTCCTCCGATTGGATGGAGAGGTTAGATTGCAGATGATCTTGAAAATCGTGGGTCCGTCGCAACGGCCCCTAATCTGAACATAATCGTCTTCACGTTGTTCAAGACGCTGCTTGAATTCGTTTGATACAGAATCCAGGAGACACATCCCTAGGGCGTAACTCGCCTGGCGGAAATAGGTGTTCGTCCTCCATCGGCTTGTTGCAGCGGCTTGCGTTGCGACAAGGGAAATCTCGCCGTATTTTGACAGCAAATTTTTGGTCATTGCATTTTCGGTAACGTCAAAAACAGGAAGGCAGTGCATGAGGGTACAGCGGCCTTGTATATCCTTGATCAATCGGGACAGGTCTGTGCCATCGAACTTGTTTGAAAGTGGTTGCTTTGCCTGGTTGTAGAGGCCTAGCTCGAGTTTGTTCTTGAGGTCCAGTGGTATTATGCCACGGGGATAGGCATCAAGGCCGTCTTCGTTCGGTGGAGGCAAAGGGTTTTGCACTGGTCCTGGTTGTTGCACCACTGGTGGTGCCATCGCTGCCGGCTGTTGCTGCGCCGCATGAGGTTGTTGCTGCGGTGGCATTGCGTTCCCTTGAGGTGGTGGCGGTAGTGGGTTTGCATTTAACTGCGGTAGTGCTGCCATGAGCGCTTGCATCATTTGTTGCTGACCTTGGATTAATTGCATGATCAGATGGTTGTTGGCGCCGGCGCCAGGGTTATTTTGCTGTTGTTGTGGCTGCTGTGGAGCTGGAACTTGTTGTGGCGGTTGCTGTGGAGCTGCGGCGTTGTTATTGCCTTCACCAGCTACAACGTTGTTGTTTCCTGCGCCAGCGTCGTCTCCTCCTTGCTGCGCCAGATCCATGTTGATGTCTGGGGCTGCTTCGGCTTGAGCGTCTTCTTGGTTGTCTGCTATTTCGCCTTGTCGTCGGAGTTCTGCTATTCCCTCAGCAAATCTCAAAGGTCGCCTTCTATTGGTGCGCAGGGGATTACGACGAGGAGGGTCCACTACCATGTAGTTTCAATTCGATTCTATTAGACGCAGAGGGAGCGAGTGTGAATCTAATGGATTTCAGGTAGGATCAATATGATTATGTAGTTAAGTTATATAGAGAGATATAGTTGATGAGTTGTGATGTCAAGAGATCCCTTCTCTTGACGTCCTTTCTTGAGGTCATTATTCATTCTCCCATCTTCCGTTAGGTCGGCGTACAGACTCTGAGTCCGAATATTCCAACAGAGAAAATTCATTTTCGATCCCAAATTTCACCATGACCGTGCCAAAGCCAATAAGCCAGAACCCTAATAACGGAAGAGAAACGAGCATGGAAGAATGACTACCGGTACACAATGAAGGTCGACCTGCGGGATATACGACAGAAACGACCATAGCCTGCCGACGAATCTCATCGTCAACACGGAAAATGTGAACGAAACACAACACGCGGCGGCACAACTCCAACTATATACACAAGACATCAGCCAAAGATTCTCACAATTATTCAAAATCAGTGAATCAATCAGCTCGAGCAGCATCAAATCAATCAGTGCAGCCATGAAGTTTTCTTCCGATCGTGTTTTGGCATTTTTCATGGCAATGATGGCCACATCATCGTCATTATGTTTTGGCCAAACCGCTCCGCCGGGCACCGAACAGCTTGGTCCCGATAATACTGGCTATTGCACAAACCAAGAAAATGGAAGACATGATTATGCCTTTACTCTCCAGGGAGAAACCATCACCATTGCGGAGTGCGACCGATTGTGTCGTAGCAACAATGATCTGGACGGTCTGCGAGGATTCAGCACGTATGAGGGAGATCAAATGTGCTATTGCTGGTACGACGATGGTACTGCTCCTGGAATGGGGCTACCACCGGACGAGTGTCCACCCGGTTCCCCGTTTCATCAATGCAGAAGATGGCCTGATGGATTTGGACCAATTGACGCTCTGATGGGCACCTTTGGATTCAATTGCTTTCGATACCTCGAGTTTCCTGTTGCTCAAGCCAATGGGGATCCTCACTGTAAGTAAACTAACGCCAGAGAAAGACACTACGTAGTCTCTTATTCGTCTGTAACTATTCGGTCTCACTCTTCTTCTTCTTCTCGTTTCAATCACTATGACAGTCCGAACCTGGAAGAACGAACATTTCGAGTTCCATGGACAGTGCGACATTGTCATGACCAAGGTCAAGAACTTTGCCAGCAAGGACATGGATCTCGACATTCACCTTCGTACTAGCATGGTCCAATACTGGAGCTACATCAAGGCCGCTTCCATCCGTATTGGAAATGACATCCTCGAAGTTCAAGGCTCGTCGGCTGCCAAGGAAGATGGCGAGGACAAGCGTCATCACTGGATCAATTTTGAGTACCGTGGGGATATCACTGACCTTGGTGGATTTCCGGTCACTATTAATCCTCGCAATGACAAGTATATTATCGATCTTGATAGTGCCTACCCTGGGCAAAAGATTGAAATCAAGAACTTTAACGAATTTGTTGGAGTCAAGATTATCGGAGCTACTGAAGAATCGTTTGGCAATGCTGTCGGTATCACTGGCGATTTCAAGACTGGCAATACGTATGCGCGTGATGGTATCACATTGCTGAACGACTTCAATGAATTGGGTATGGAATGGCAAGTCTTGCCGAGCGATGGCAAGCTGTTTCACGAAATGGCTCGTCCTCAATTTCCAGAACTTTGCTACCTTCCAGAAGATCCCCGTGGGGAACGTGCTCGTCGCTTGGATGAGTCTAATATTACCGAAGAACAAGCGGAAGCTGCTTGTGCTGGTCTCGACGATGAATTTGATCGCAAGGGATGTGTATACGACATCCTTGCCACTCAAGACTTGAACATGGTTGGAGCGTACTAAAGTGGAGTATATTATGCTGTATATAGGCAGGCATTTGCTGTAAGCGTCGAAAGGTACCTGTGGATCTGGCACCGTTCGACTATGATTGATCGTTCAGTGATACAGTGATACTGTAGATAATAATGATTGAGATGCAGTTTGTGTTCATATTTGCTTGATTGTTGAGTACGCAAGAATCAAAAGCTACCTTTTACTATCTACCATCGTGTATGATTGTTCCCTTCGTTCGATCTCGCTTCACTGTAGTCTTTCACCAACACAGTCCATTTTCACTTTTTACTTTGAGGAAAGAAAACCCTCAATGCATCAATGAGGTGAGAAAGGTTTTGATGTTTGATCAGTGCTTTATTTAATAAAAGCAAAACATATGATTTCCTATCTTCTCTTGTTTGATTAAATTATTATCATCATGTTCCAGATTTGATCAGATGAGACCGCTGAACCTGATCCATCACCGAAAAATGTTGGCTTTAAGTCACCCAAAAGCACGTCTGATGGAAGATTTTCCATGAATTCTCGTTGATGTTCGTATGTGATGTGTATACCTGTGAACCATGCAACGTTGATCTTTTTATGGAGGTTCTGCGAGCGTTATCAAATCGAAAGTCATGTCCCCGCCCATGTTCAGAAAGATCCAATAGGTCTATCAGGACAGCTGAATGTATGCCAATGTACGTGGCTTTGGAATATAATGGGCGTCTCGTCTCTGCAGAACGCCATCATCATTGTCCTACCGGTACAACATTTTATTTCCCTTACATTTGTAGGCACAAGTCGACAGCTAGATCGTAGCTATAAAGCTTTGAAGGCGAACAAAAGAACTCTAAACTCCTGAAAAAATGTTACTGCATGCATACTCATCCCTCCTATTGACAAGCAGTCATATGATGAAGAAGATGTTTTGATTAGTATCTATTTGCATGCTGTAGTGGAGGACATTTAGCTCAGAACACAACTTTTGTGGCTTAGACATTGGTCCTGAGAAATAGATCTATGCATGCGGAGAAACGATACCATGCAGTATCATTAGCTTCACGTTGACTCTCTCGAACACTTACAGGTTCGCCTGTGCAATATCATTGGGTTCACGTTGATTGACTCTCTCGAACATAATATATTTCGCGAAGAATATGTGAACTCGAACCCATGCGATCAAGAAAGTCGCCAGATCGATCTCAGGACATAAAAATATGCCGTGAAACCATTGTTGGCTCTTTCGAAGACATATACTTTTTAATAAAAAAATTAGCGATCCGCCAATAGTCATTTTCATCTGGAGTCAGGTTCACGTTGACTCACTCTTCGGAATAATTGAATTTCACCATATTCACGGCGAAAATATAATCTCAGATTGACTGGAAAAATTGCTCCATCCGCAAATCCCAAATTGTTTCGCACAAAGGAAACCGCTCACAAATCAATAAGCTTCTGCAGCAAGATAGACGAAAATGAAACTGACCTTGAGCTTGACTGCCATTGCGGCCTTTGGCCCAACTCTAGTCCGTGCTGCTGACATTGGCATGTGCTCGGCTCAAGCAATGTGCATAGACTTTACCGTCAAGAAAACGAGCGAGTGCTTCGGGGAAGACTGTGGTATTCAGGTCTGCATGATCTTGGATACTGAAAAGGAAGGCTGTCCCAAGGAAGAAAACATCAGTCACTTGTGTTCCGCCAGTTCGGGTGGATGCGCCGCATACGATAGCGATGGAGTGACACCTCTCACCGGAAAGGGTACTTCTTCTGACTGTACCAGTACCACCTTTGATGGCAAGTGCGAGCCTGAGGAATATGGTGGTCAGAGAAGGATTAAAATGTGCCAAGAGGGGAAGCCAGGAGAAAAGCTCTACTGGGCACTCAAGGATGCAGATGTCGCTGATACAGGATCTTATGATTACACTGGTGTCTTCCCCTTTGATAATGATGATACTACTTGCTCACCAACGGTTAAATGTTTGGGAGATGGGCACTCCTTGGAATGTGCAACTCCAAATAGTGATATGTCTTCATCTACCCGTGTCTGGGAATATACAATCCCTGCCGATGACGGCACTGCTTGCGATATGTGTACGGGTCCGACACCTGATCCACCTTTGTCAACACTACCACCAACTCCCTCCCCACCACCAGGCTCTAACATTCAACCTACACCTGGAGGCAACGGAGATCCTCACTGTAAGTCGGGCAGTCTCCTTGATCACAACTTCTTCGAATCTTCCTGTTTGATCTAACTCTTTTCCTTGGCTTCTCAACTCATAGTCCGCACATGGAAGGACGAACATTTCGAGTTCCATGGACAGTGCGACATTGTCATGACCAACGTCAAGGACTTTGCCAATCAGTCCATTGATCTCGATATTCACCTTCGTACTAGCATGGTCCGACACTGGAGCTACATCAAGGCCGCTTCCATCCGTATTGGAAACGACATCCTTGAAATCCAAGGCTCGGCTGCCAAGGAAGATGGCGAGGAGAAGCGTCATCACTGGATCAACTTTGAGTACCGTGGGGATATCACGGACGTCGGTGGCTTTCCAGTCACCATTAGCCCACGCAACAACAAGTACATGATTGATCTCGATAGTGTCTACCCAGGCCAAAAGATTGAAATCATGACCTACAAGGAATTTGTTGGGGTCAAGATGATCGGAGCTACTGAAGAATCCTTTGGCAGTGCTACCGGTATCATTGGCGATTTCAAGACTGGTAAGACCTATGCCCGCGATGGAGTCACGGAGCTGAGCGATTTCAACGAATTGGGTATGGAATGGCAAGTCTTGCCAAGTGATGGCAAGTTGTTTCATGAACTTGCTCGTCCTCAATTTCCAGAACGATGCTACCTTCCAGAAGATCCCCGTGGGGAACGTGCTCGTCGCTTGGATGAATCAAGCATAAGCGAAGAACAAGCGGAAGCTGCTTGTGCTGGACTTGAAGACAAGCTGAGTCGCAAGGATTGTCTGTATGACATTCTTGCCACTCAAGATTTGGACATGGTTGGCGCTTACTAAAGCGTGTCGAAAGTAAATGCCATGATTTGTAGTTTAGCGATAAATATTTTGATGATTGAGATGATGCTATTTGATATTGCTTTCATTTGCTGTCCTATCAGTATGTATGCAGTGATAAAAGTTTGCCTTCTGCTTTCTGATGATTGTGGGTGACTGTGTTGCTTTCGCTTTAACTCGCTCTACTTCTACTCAAGTTTTTCAAAATCAGAACTAAACACAATAGTGAAAAAAGAATAGCAATATAATATAGCAATAGCAAGAGTGATAGCAATAGCAAGAGTGATAGCAATAGCAAGAGTGATAGCAATAGCAAGAGTGATAGCAAGAGCAATAGCAAGAGTGATAGCAAGAGCAATAGCAAGAGTGATAGCAATAGCAATAGCAAGAGTGATAGCAAGAGCAAGAGCAAGAGTGATAGCCGTACGTCAACCGATCATCGCGTCTGTCTGCAATCCAAATATCTTTTCCCAGTGATGATGCGATCTCACCGGTCGTGATTCCGTATCGATTGTGATAGCCATCACCACTATACGGCATATATTGCTTGCAAGAACAATAGTTCAAATCAAGCACCACAACCAGATACAATGATGAATCGTACAGTCGCAATTCAATCCTTTCTTCTTATGATGGGCTTTTCGGTCGCTTTGGCAGACGGGTTCTCCTTTTCTCAAACAAGTACCGCAAGTACAACTACAGCTACGATTGGCATCATGCGACGAGGATCGTCTATTTCGTCGGCATCATCTGGTCCCATTTCACTCAGCCAAAGGCAATCAAATTCTCTGCCTTTTCTATCAACAAGAGGAGGAGGCTCCCTGAATAATACTCCCCGAGGTGGAGTCCGTTATGCCGAACCATCGGATGACGATCTCCCTGCCGCGGAAGGAGTGGTTGCCAAGACTCTGTCGGCGTTTGGAAGCATGTGGGGAAGCATGGGTGTCGTCTACATACTGGTCAAGGCTATCAAACGAGTACTACCGATCGCTATAGAACCTTTGAAGTCAGGAAGTTCCCTTGCTTTGTCTAAGATTCAATGGGGGTAAGTTCTATATTTATAATTGTGACGATGATGCGTATGCGTCCTATCCTGCCCCCCTCACCTTATTCATCTTACAAAATGTTTCATTCCATTCCAGTTTGTATGCCGCAACCTGTCTCTTCTTTGCATATGCTGAAGGATACAAGGGATTCCAATTGAAGTTTTCACCATTGGTTGTCAAGCGAAGCGCGACCTTGGTTCCAGGAACCAAGCAAGGCAACAATCCTTTGAATTACTTGTTGGCACCTCTTTACAGCATGGGATTGATCAATGCCACCAAGAAGCGATTGATTGTTTCCTGGTCGGTCAGTATGGGTGTGGCCATGATTGTCGCATTGGTCAAGCGACTTCCACCCATCAGTCGATGCATTATGGATGCAGGTGTCGTGGTTGGATTGACCTGGGGAAGTCTCAGTATCCAGCTCTTTTATCTAAGGACTCTCTTTACGGGAAAGACTCCCGATGTCGACGCCTGTTTGCCATGAGCTGCTTGCTTGCCTGCCTGCTTGATTTTCATCCTATGAAGAATCTGACATGAAAAGGAAAAAAAATGATGTGTCGGTCTCTTCTGGAAAACATTTCATTGTCATTGATAGGACTAATAGGCAAGCGTTCAAAGATTAGAATAACGTGGTACTATTTATGTGTGTACAGAGTATCAGTTTTCAAATGTGTCAGTGCCAAAGAATGTTGCTGTATATAGCCTGGATGTTTTTGTCAACCACATATAGTCTTTGTGGCCGACACCGAGTTGCGAACCCGAACCCAAATTGAAAATTGAGTTTTCATGCAAGACGGACAGCTACAGTATAGCTACTGTAGATCTCTGAACGAACCGATGCGATAAGTACTGCATAGCACATTGTATCCAGAATTTTTATAGAAAGATGATCAATTATATGATATGTAGTCCTATTCTATTTTGATATTATATTATACAGTCTATCAAACATAATCGGGGAAACATTTCTGGAGATGATCTGTCAACTTTTGCACCATCGCCTCCTTGGATTGTGTCGTGATGGCATCCAGATGGCATATTTGCCACCGTTTTTGCTCTTCCATGACCTTTTTGAATAATTTTCCTTGCGAGAGGCGAGGAAGTGTGTCCCTCATGAGCTCTGCGCCCGTCAAAAGTGGGTGCAATCCGAAGATGTTGCCATAGTTGCCCCCATTCGAGTCCAAACCAAGATTCCGAATCTTGGACACAATCCTCTTAAAGTCGTAGATTGCTTTTTCAATCGACATGGATACATCCCCCTTCTGACACCCGATCGCAAAATGTAGTAGCAGCATCTCCTTCCAAAGTGGACCGATTCGTACTAGTGCTTCATAATATGCCAATCTTTGGGACTGTTGGAGACTTTGGTCATTGTCCAACCCTGTTCCTGATGTAGTCGTAGTAGTTGTGAAATTAGTAGTCAAGTCCATATTCAGTAAATCTGGTATGGTGTCCAGACCTCTTATGATTGATTCGATGCTTTGCACATCGCTCTTGGAAATCATCAGTTTTGAATTCAACAGGTCAAAGAGTCGACTCTTGGATCGCTTCGATTCAGTCTTATGGTCCTGGTCCTGGTCCTGCTGGTTTTGCAATTGGTGGTAAAAGGGCTGCAACAATGCCGCATACCAGAGAAACCGCCGATTGACATCCTTCCAGTCACCACCTTTGACAAAGACTTGACTGGCGAGTCGTTGGGTGTACAACAGAACGAGAAATCCCTTTTCCCAATGGTCAATATCGGTGATGCTCTTGCTGGATCTGATAGCTCCAATTGGCGATGGGAGCAATGCGGATAACAAATCCGTGTCCAGTAGAAAGCCAATGCCTAATGATGGATTCGAAGTCCGAAAGATGGCGTCCATTTCCTTGGCGCGTCTGCTTTGTGACAGCTTGGCATTGATCGCCGACTGAACTTGGGGATTTTGAGCCGCCTTGATGAGTTTGGGATCCATGGCGTAGGAGAATTGTGCCGCAAACCGAATCGCTCGAAGGATCCGAAGAGGATCCTGTAGCAAGGTTGGAAGTGGTGCCTTGGGTGTTGCAATGGCTCGTTTGGACAAGAGATCCTTGAGACCTTGTTCGGTCCAATCTTCAATTTGATTGGAATGAAGGTTGTAAAAGAGGCTATTGATGGTAAGGTCACGTCGCCATGCATCTTCCGCAGCAGATGCTAGCTGAGTTTGTGTTGGCACTCGGCTGGTACCATCGTACTGATCCTTTCTTAAATGGCAAACATCAATATCAAATCCTCCAATTTGAAAAGTGGCAGTTTGCAAAGGATTGCTGCTGACATAATTTCGTTTGCTGGAACCAAGCGATACAGCACCCTCATCATCACCATCATCATCGGTATAGGTACTCGATGATTCCGTTTTGGAATATGTCAAGTGAGGAAAGGAAAACTCCAAATCATAGTCCTGCTTTTCGATGGAACGAAACGGATTTTTGGATCGTCGTTTGTTGAGGTACCCTCGTAATAGGTACGCAAATGCCTGGCCGGAAATGTTGGATGTGACTAAATCGATATCCTTGCTCGAGTGAAATGTCGTTCTTGTTTGCCGAGCCGCATTAGCATCAGAATTTCCATTTTCAATATCCTGTTGATAGGCTAAAAGTTTGTCTCGAACCCACCCCCCCGCAACTCGAATGGTCGTAGCTGGACAACACTCGTTTCGAAAGTCCACGAGCAATTGAAAGAGTTGTTGTTCTTCCGATGTCAAATATATTCGGGAACTACCTCCTGACGTTTTAGCAAAAGTGTCCGATGCAGCCGATTGGGCAACAGCAGCTGTCGTTCTAGTAATTCCTCCAAGTAAGTCTTTCATGATGGGTCTTTCCTGATTGTCATCATCGCTTTCCACGACGTAACACCCATCTTCGTCGCAGACATACGAGAGATCCGCTGGCAAAGCAAGAGACGACCAGGTGGTATGGGTTTTTGATTTTGATTTCAATGTCCTCGATGTCGACGTGTATGCCAAGAGTGATGGCAGTGGTGGCGCTGTCAAGGGTAACGAAGACGACAACCAAACCTGAGCTGGTGATGAGATCAAGGCAAGGAACTCTGCAGATTGGTCAAGTTGTTCCATCGGCAATATGCCAAAGGCATCCGCAAAGAAATACGACTTGTTTGTCGTCGCCAGGTGACATGATTCTGGAAGCATCAACGCCATCATGGCAATGGTGGCAATCGCGCCATGGCATGAGAAGATTCTGGGTTGCATCCTTATTGTTCGTGATCGTTTCCTCGTTGGCATTGTCATGATTGACCTTTTGTTTGAGCTTTGTTTGCTTGATCTTTGTTTGCTTATGTTTGTTCTGTTCTTGGGATGAATGAATCGATTTTGTGAACGTACGGTATCTTTCTCTCAAGCTGAAAGTATTATTCTTTGATATATTAATATACCGGTATAATATTTTAATAGTAGTATTGTATTAATATGTTTTGTGTTGGAACTGAAGAGCCTTGTTTGATGATCTCTAGAGTTTCGTGAATGGTATTGTTGGAACAATGAGAACGCGGTGTAACGAAACAGAACTATACAGTACAGTACAGAAGACTTGCGTGTTCATTGACATGTCATCATATTTGTCTTTTTCCGAATGAATCATCATTCATTCGAAATCTGCCTGCTGCCACTTCGATCGAAGAAATCAATCCCACCTATAAAACATGCTTTGGCGGTTCTGACGTGTTTTGATTTATTTTGGAACAGGTGAAATTGGTTGAGCAAGGACAGAACGACAGACTGAAGAAATCCATCGCGCGCAGGCCACCTCTGAGTGTCGCACCAAAGTCACCAACTTCAGTTCAAAACGCATCAGGCACGTGTCATAGTTTGGCGATCTGTCTCTGATGCAAATGTGCGTACGAGTTCCGATATACTCGTAGATCTATTATTTTATTATTGTGAAGGCAGGCAGTAGGATCAACGACATCTTGTCGCTACAAATTCAAAAGCAATATATATATATGAAATCAGACTATACGTTGCCAACACATTCATAGAAAGAGCAAGAGGAAGAAAGCTTCAGCAAAACTTGGTGAAAGACGATTGAAGATACAGTACTACTTTTACTACATTCAGACTACCGTATACTATAATTCAGGAGAAATCTATATAATTGGACGATGAAGGTTTCCAGTATCGTCTTGATGACGATTGTCGTGTCACCCTATGCTTCAGCTTTTGTGTTGCCCAACCAAAGAATACCAAACAACGATGTCCAATCCAGAAGCGGGGGTCCTTTCGGTGGATATCTGAATCCACCATCCGATCGACTGTCGCCACTTCGATCTTATTTGGATTCCATTGCTGGCAGCAATGCCAATAACAACGACAGAAGCAACAATAACAGCAACAACAACAACAGCTATGGGCAACCAGGAAACAATGCACCTGATTCTAGAAGAGACAACCGTCCAAATTCTCAGCCACCCTCCGGTACTTCATATGGAAGCCCTCCTCCGCCTGCTCAACCCAACATGCCATTTGGTCATGATGGGAATTCAAATTCAAATGCGCCGGGTCGAGGCATGAACAGTATGCAGCCGCCGCAAACACAGTCTATCAATCCTACTAACGCACAGCCACCATATGGGACACAACCACCACCACGACAATTTTCGACAGAACCTTCCAGCTTTGGACAGCAACAGAATCCGCCACCACCGCCGCAACCACGACCGCAACAACAGCAGCAGCAGCAACCACAAATGGGAGGCATGACATCGTATTCCCCGTTTACTCCGTCATATGACAATACCAAGGCAGCACCTGGAAGTCAGCAATCATTTGGATCCCCAACTGGTGTTGGTCCTCAACAACAACGGGGAACTCGGTCGATATATGACGTCGAAACAACCATGGGAGGAGGAGGAGGAGGTAGTGGACCATCCTTTTCGGCGGCTTCGTCGTCACCATCAACAACAACAACAACAGCCAATCCAAAGCAGTCAAATCCGACAGTACCAAGTTTGAATGCCACCTATCAGGCTCCGGCATTTGGGTCCAAGCCAGGAACTAGCAACGCATTTGGTTCTTCCACACCACCACCACCACCACCACCACCACAACAACAACAACCACCATTAGGCTCCACAGCAAACTTTCAAGTGGATCCCAATCGATCAGGAAGCTTCAATGGAGGACCACCTCCTCCTGGATACCCCAATGGACCTGGACCAGGTAGCTACGCTGGAGGACCACCTCCTCCAGGCTATCCGAATGGACCAGGGCCAGGAAGCTTCCATGGAGGGCCACCACCTCCAGGATATCCCAATGGACCTGGACCAGGAAGCTTTGCTGGGGGACCACCACCTCTTGGACAACCACCGTTGCCAAGAACCAATGGCGGATCGTTTGGAACACCTCCGCCAAATACGAATGCACAAAGACCAACCAGTCCTCAACCCGGCCAACCACAGGCATTTTCACCATTCGCCTCGTCGTCATCAGGCGGTGGAAGGAATAGTTTTGGGTCAACTCAATCGCGTCCTGGTACGGCAAGTTATGGATCGCCTCAATCGCCAGCTACTACGGCAGGAAGTTATGGATCGACTCAAACACCAGCTACGACTGGAAGCTACGGATCGACTCAATCGCCAGCTACTACGGCAGGAAGTTATGGATCACCTCAAACACCAGCTACAACGGCAGGAAGTTATGGATCGCCTCAATCGCCAGCTACTACGGCGGGAAGTTTTGGATCACCTCAAACACCAGCTGCAACTGGAAGCTACGGGTCGCCTCAATCACCAGCTACTACGGCGGGAAGTTACGGCGGAAACCAACGACAACCTCCACCGGGAGCCCCGGGTGGATCATCAAGCTTTGGTGGCGGAACTGCAACAGGATCACGCTCAAGCTTTGGTGCAAATGCACCACCAGCAGCGGCAGGAAATGGAAATCCTCCTCCGTTTCCAGGGACGGCGGCAACCACTAGTTTTGGTCAAGGTCAAGGTCAGACTCCCAATCCAACGCACTCATTTGGAAATCCAGCGACAGGTACTAGTACGACTCCTCCACCAACCTATCCAGGCTCCACTAGCTATGGTCAAACCACTCCACCACAACCAGCTACTTCTTCGTTTGGAGCACCAGGTGCAAGAGAAACACCAAGAGGAGCCCCAGGTGCAAGAGTAGCTCCAGGAAATACTAGCTATGGGAACACACCTCCCGCAGCGCCAACGAACAGTTATGGTGCTCCGGCGACAACAAGTTTTGGGGCACCTGCTACTAGCAGCTATGGCAATCCTGGAACGAATAGTTTTGGTGCTCCAGCAGCAGGCAGCTTTGGCAACCCTGCCACTAGCACTTTTGGGGCACCGGCAACCACGAGTAATACCGACAGCGTGATGACCGCCAACTTGAAAGCAGAAAACGAGAAGCAGCAAAAGATGATTGCCGATTTGACGAACGAAAAATCCAAGATTGAAGGTTCGTTGAAAGCATTCAGTGACGCCGACTCGGTCTCGAAAGCGGCCAAACTGAGCTTAGAAGGCGCCAACAGAGACTTGCAAGAGACTTTGAAGAAGCTACAAAAACAGCTGTCCGACGCCGAAGAGACCATTAAGCAACTTCGATCCGAAAAGGAACAACAGAAATTGCAACCACCACAGACTGAACAGCGGTTAACGAATTCATTTGGTACGAACCAACCAGCAACTTTTGGACAGCAGCCGCTAGCGCAACAAACTCCACCAGCAGATTCTCTTTCTGCAGGCGCAAACATTCGGAAAAAATGGAATGAAGCTACTCAAACGTGGGATATTCTACCAGACTCCGATTCGAAGCTACCGGTACAATCACAAAAGCCAGGAGTCAATCCTTCTCCTTTTGCTCCCAATCAAGCTGCTGGTAATAAACCTGGCGGTAGCAGATTCCAGTCCTTTAACGGTGATGGATGGGGCTCTAGTCCATCATCTTCCACATCTAAACCGGCGACACCACCCGCAACCAAGAAGCCAAGGGAATCAACAGATAGTGGATGGTGGGCACTTGAAAATGAAGGTGGAAGACGGCGAACTGGTAGTCACAACGGCGACGGGCTATAACTGAAAATTAATATTGCAAATAGTCTGCCACAAGGGGAATGACTACCGCGGACGTAATTTGTAGCCAGATGGTTGGTTTGAACATAGATTGATTATATACTGCTTTACTATCAATTGCAAATGTTACGGAAATCAAAATTTTGATGGCTTCTCGTAGACTTTTTCATCTTTCATTATGCAATTGAGAAGAGATTGCCACGATTCGCAACCGTTCTTGTTGCTATTGTTGCTGTCATTGTTCAATTTGCATTGGCATTCGATGTCCAAAGAAAGGTTCCACAGGAAGAAGGCTTGTCTGACTCATGATATGCGAGCCCACTGACTCATGTGTTGGTGGAAGATTCCATAGCCGGTGGTCTTGCAACGGAGTCGATGGGTTCTTGTGGATAATTTCAGCCTCACATTTTATTGAATCTTTGAAATTTTACGGGTTTTTTCAGCTTCTCTGGAAAGTGAGGGTGTCAGATTCATGATGAATCTCCACGAATTTCCCATAAGTAGAACTTCCAGCGACCAAGGATGCTCCGACCGCAGCTCAAACAGCAGTGAATAAGAAGGTTTCACATATAAATCTGTTCACAACAATGGAGATTTCTCTTCTGGGCCAACAACAAAGATTCATGTCCGCACGCGCTTAAGATTCGTTGTAATACTTACATATTCTACAACACCAATCGTGAAAGGCTACTGCACCCTGTAGGCAAAACCGGTAAACAACTTCATTTCATTTAGACAAAAGAAATACTGAACGGAAAGTCACATCGAACGGCTACTTGTAAGATTCTCCCTCCGACATCCGAAATATCCGAATATGGCGCCCCTTGTCAGGTTTCCACTCTCTCACAATTTCGTAAAACCGGAAAAAGATTGCACACATCTATATCTTTGAAAGATTGCTGCTACCACCATGAAGTTTGCCGCATTTTCCGCCCTTCTCTTCTCCATGGCCAACTCCGAGAGCGCCATCAACGACTTCCAAGATGAAGGCAAGGTTCATCTTGCCACCACTGGATCCGTCGATGAGCTTGCCAAAATTGATGCTCATGCTGCTCAGGCAAGACAACTCGATGGGCACGGACCTTCCATGTGCACCATGAAGCCTTTCGATCGTGATGCTATCATTGAAAGAGTAAGTCTATAAATGATTCGAGTGATAAGTGTAACTGGCAACGGAGAAAACAAGTCAACTAATACGCTTCAATGTTCTTTATTTTACACTTTGCTTCTGCAGTACGCAATGAACATGTCCAACCCCGAGCACGTCATGGCCATTGATGCCGTCATGGCTGGGGATCTCAACATTGGAACCATCACCGCCCTCCTTCCCGAGTCTAGTGATGCCATGAGAGTTGGCGCTCTTGTCGAAGACGGAAAGTCTGGAGCCACCAACTTCCCGCACGGACCCATCAAGGCTCTCTTCACTGTTGGAGAGATCAACGCTTGCGAAGAAAACCACGGGGATGTATACACTGGCGTCCCAGATGGTATGGGAGCCTACCTTGTGGATGATGATACCGTCCGTCTTATCGTGCAATCCGAATCTTATGGACAACTCCGATACGAGACCTGGGCCTACCCGGTCAACATGGACGAATCAAGACGTCAGTTGCCTGTTGGTCCACGCACTAGCGGTGCCACCTTCACTGGATCCCATGTCCAATACACTGACTTTGATCGTCATGGCCTTGCTGACTTCATGGAGTACGATGGGCCAGCTGCTCACATTGTCAAGGGATTCGGACAAGTCGCCCATACCTACTACAACTTGGCTGGAGACCTCATTGGACCTCGTGACACCAGCGATACCACCCCTACCGGAGCTCACTATTCCAACACTGATGCTGATGGAAAGTGGGCCATGGAAGAGTACCCATCCGAAGCCGATTGGATGATGCAATCCTTGTGCTCTGCCCACTTGGAAGAGAAGCACCAATGGGGAGAAGGCATTGGATTCGAAGATGACATCTACATCACCAATGAAGAATGGATGAGATGTAAGATTTCGAGATTGTCGCACTTCTCTTGATACATGTCACACAATAATGTCATACGAATCTCACACTCACAATCTGCTTTCAACTACAGATGCACCCAATGCCACATACGTTGGTCTTTCCATGCACGCCATCGACCTTGCCAATGGAGTCGACTACGCCGTGGGCAGTGTCACCCTCTCTGGATTCGAAAAGATCACCGAGTTGAACCCCCAACATCCAGACTACGTCATCTTGGGAGTTTCTGGATACAATGGCGACTACACCAATGGTGAACGCGAGGTCAATGAGAGAAATGCTGAGTATGGACCCCGTGATGATGGAAATGACTACGTTGCTCCCGAAAATGTTGTTCCAGCCCGTATCTATGTTGGTATGAAGGGAAAGATGGAAGATGGTAAGACCCAACCATGTATTGATCGTAATGGAAACTTCGCACCGATCTTACCTAATCGAATTTGTCTGATTGTTGTCTAATCCATCCAACGCAGGTTCTGATGCTCCCGCCGACGATTTCCTTGCCCGCAATGGTCTCCGATACGGCAAGGTCTACGGATTCGCTGCTGATATGACCGTCGATAAGGACACCAGTGGTCTCTTCCGTGACAACTACCACAAATGCCGTGAAAACGGATCCAGTGTCGATGGCAAGTTTGTTGCCATCAACTGGCAATGGGACGGCGTTGTCAAGAACTTCCGTCACGATGGTGCTTGGGAATTCCAAAACAACGTTCCAGGACACGAAGGAAACTGGAAATGGTGGAACTCTGCTGGCTACAACGGAGGCGGTGCCAAGACCGAGCACTTGTCTCCTGATACTCGCCCTGGAAATACTGCTTTCGTCCAAGGATCCACTGCTGGATACTTTGGCCACTACTACCTCCGCAACGTTGCAGATGTCTTGGATGCCGCCGACGGTCTTCCATCTGAGTTCGACTCCATCTACTACGTCTACCAAGGAGAGAACCCTGTCAATGATCAAATTGCCCGTGGCGGAGAAGGAAAGTACAACGTTGTTGATGTCTGCTTCGACTTGAACAACGCCCAGCGCAACTGTGACGCCGACTATTCCGTCCAATCTACCTTTGAAGATGTCGATGGTCTTGAAATCATTGCAGCCAAGGAAGGTCTTTACGCTGTCATCCAAGAAGATTCCGGAAACGATCTTGGAGAACGCATGTTCATCTCCTCGCTTTTGGAGCATAACCTGGACGGGCATGAGCTCGGTTACCATTTCATGGCCATGTCGGGAGGAAAGTACAACACTCGCATGGCCGAAGGAGTTGGGATCCCAGCCGGTTCCAACACTGAAGGAAATGCCCACGAGTTCTCTGGTGTTATTGACTTGTCTGGTATCTTGAAGAAAGCTACGAGTGAGAGTCGGCGTGAATTGAACACCCAGGGAGTTGACAAGGGGTTCGAAATCAGTGCCGGTGATGGATACGGCAAGCGCCAGTGCGAGCTTGAAGTTCCAATCAACGAAAAGTTGATTGCCTTGGGTCTTCAAGCTCACAATATGAACGGTGGAATCGTTGGTGCCTTGAAGGCTGATCGTGGTGGACAAGTTCTCATCTACCAACCCAACATCTAAGCGTTGATATTTCTTAATGTAACGTTGCCTTTCTTGATGATCTTGAATCTTGTAGGTAGTTACATATTTGTTTCATTCGTTGATTGTATGGCTAATTGATTCCAGTTGCCTTATACTAGATGCCTCCTGCCTTCAATCATCTTGTCCCCCGAAGTCTTCTTCATCTATATATGTATAATACCTTCATTTCTTGATTTAGAAGACAGCAGATCCACCGCCGTCTTGCATATTCGTGGACCTAGATAGATCGATTGCCTCTTTATGTAATTTACGGTATCATCCATTTTCATACAGTGGTAGTTTGATGAAAACGAGAGATGAGATATATTTGATGATGACGATGAGATTATTTTTGGATGTTGCATGCAATCGAAGGCGTCGATTATTATCCATCAACTCCGAGTGATCGAGTGAGTCTGTCAGACAATATATGCGAAGCGCGCAGCGTCGCGAGCGGTGCACGAAGTCTCACTTCCAACTTCAAAAAACTTCGACTGGCAGGCATGCTGTGCAGAAGGAACGTAGAATTTAACGTACGTTGGTTGGAGTCACGACCAAAAATATACAAACACGCCGAAAAAGTGGAAGAAAAAAAAAACCAAGTGAAAGTGTGTCACCAAATGTTTTGATTTATATTGAGGTGTACCGCAGTACCGGTACTCTTTTATATATCCTCAGACTCAGGCACAATTGGCAGTTGGAATCTTGAACACTTCTGCAGCGCCTTGGCTTTGTTCATCTCTGCTTTACTTTACTTTACTTGTCTCTAGCTCATTCAAGTCTGTTTGGAAGACTTTTTGGAGTCAACTTATTCGTACTGTTTCTTCCGAAAATAATACTTTTGAAGACACAGTGGCATACACACGCACGACGTACATAGAGAGTCAGTAGTATGCGCTGGTTACCACACGGGTGCTACTCCCTTTGGGTGGCGTTGCTATGCACCGGCGGTTGGACGGCTTCTCTAATGCAAGATGGCTGTGATTTTGCTCGAGTCGAGGGTCCCGTGGTGGCCGAGCTGACAACCTTGGGAGAACTTCCTCCACCGTGGTTGGAGTTTGGAATTGGTGCCTTTCGAGCTCCCTCCAAAGAGTCTTTGGAGTTGGTTGCAGCGGCATCGGCCAATGCAGCAAACAACATCAATAGCAACAGCAGTAGCAACAGTAGTAGCAGCACAGCCAGGAATGTACAGTCGCAGTTCCAAGACTGGTATGACCACATATTAGAGGGAGAAGAGGATTGCAAACTCTTTGAAGATGAGACAATGGAAAAGTTCATGGACAATGCCTGGACGACGGCACGCACCTTTGCTTTCTTAGCGCTGGTGCTGGGAGGTGGAGGTAGCTTGTTTTTGTGGGCGTCTACGTTCTTTGTCTTTTCCCGTGGAACTTGGAGGTGGACTGGATATCTGATACTCACTGGGAGTCTCTGCAATAGCATGACCTTTTTGTGGTACCTTACATCCCTTTGCTCTTGGAATACTTGTTCCATGTTTTGGGGATCCAAGACCAACATTGTGGCTTCCACTCTATGGTTCCTTGGTGGTCTGTTCATCGTTTGCCGATATCCAGTACCGCACTCGCAGCGAATGCAAAAATTGGGTCAAGAAGAACCCGCCGCGGATGGTCTCTTTTCACCATCATCAACGCCAACCTCATTATCATCCGGCATCAAGGACGACGAATTCGTTCCAACGGTGGATGTACTCTCTGTCGATGGGATTGAAGCAGATTTCATTGATGCCGAAAAGGAAGATGATGAGAGTTTTAATATGAATATGAATGAGACTGTCACGGCAAGAGAATTGGTATGATGATCATGCATACTGCACGAATCCTGTATTGTATCACACTATACTGCATCCATCCCCCAATAGCAAAAGGGACGGCACGGAAGCACAACAGCTGTAACAATAACCTACTGTATGATACGAATGAATAGGACCTAATATATTTATAAACTTATTGCAAATCCAATTTTACGTTTGATCCGAAACTTCCTCATCGTCCAAATCCTCATCATCTCGAAAGCCCCCACCAACATTTGTCATTTCAGTTGCAGTGTCAGGTTCTTCATTATCATCCTCTTCATGGATATCGCCACCTGCAGCTAATATCTCTTGACGTTCCTTGCTCCGTTTCTGCAAAACCTGAAATGCACCAAACCCAATGGCGACGACCAAGACCATGACGAAAAACAAGAAATTGAACACACCGCCTCCCAGACCAGAGGCACCAACACCAGCCAGGGCAGCATCCATATCGGCGCCAACTACAAAGTCATGTGGCGCATTCTTACATTCCAATTGTCCAAGCAAGGCATTGTAAATCATTTCCGTGTTATCCTTGAACTTTTTGTAGTAGTCTGCACCTTCCTCGCATTCCGACCACAAGCTCTCTTGGTAAAGAATATCCAGTGTGCCCTTGTCAATGTACTGTTGCAAATCACTCTGATACGCGCAATCACGATACCGAAAGAGTTTCTCAATCTTGGCGGTTTCTTCTTCATTCAATTCGTTGAAATCTTTCTCGATCTTATTCTTGACCGGAAGATAGTCGCCAAGGCTATGCATAACGCCCTCGTCGCATGCTCCAAACAAAACATCGCATCCGATCGTGTGGACAATATGTTTGCCAGCCTTGTCGACACCTTCCATGTCCATCAGGGTGACCTCCCAACCACGTTCCAAAAAGATGCTGGCCGCTCCCAAAGGATTCATTTCAGCACCAATCATACTGGCTCGATACTTTTTATCGTCTTCGTTCACATGGGCTTCGCACATAAAGTCTTCGTAGGAGGCACCGGCATACTCTTCACCAGCATGCTTCCAAATACTGATCCATTGGTCGATGCGGGGAGCTCGGTAGTTGAGAATGACCTTAATGTCCTTGTGATCCACTTGGAGCTTGTCCACAATGGCTTCCATGACGGGCATGGCATCGAGATACTTGTCCGGACCGACTTGATCGAATTCTTCGGTTCCCAAAAATACACCATTTTCACTTTCGTCGAACTTAGCTTGAATGACATCCAAAGCCTTGTTCAGAAAACTCTTATCATCTTTATTCTTGACCAATTTGCCGTACTGCTTTTCTCCCAAGGATTCGTCAAATGTTGGCCATCGCCAGTACTCGAGACTGCATGTATATATACAGATGTATATGTATGTGTATATATGTGTATAGTGCATGATGAAAACAAATATGTATTCCAACAATATAATATATATCATAGCAAAGGACCAAAATAAGACAAAACAGACGAGGATTAGATTTTCCATTTCGACACAAAAATGATGCAAATTCAACATGTAGATAGCCGGAAGGACTCATGGGCATTAGCTAGCATGCTTTTTTTTGACAATCTCAAAACGACCCAAGTATCTGGGCTATATCATCATCTTTCTTTGTCGTGCAACGTCGAAACTTACGCAGTCGTATGTGGATGATTGGCCACATTCCCTTCCTTGGCCCAAGTGGCAAAGAACTTTTCCACACTCGTACTAGCGGACTTGTGAGGACCAGCAAAGAAATATAGTTTCTTGTCCCCAGTAAATTTCACGGCAATGTGCGAATCTGTATATTCCTCAGCGTCCTTGTGAATGGACGGCTTTACATGATTGTAGGCTGCAATCTGATGCTGAAACGCCAGCAATAATAGGAGAAGGAGAGTTGACTGTGCTCTCATCGTCGTTGATGATGATGATGATGATGACGATGATGATGATGATCCTTTCGTTCTTGGTTGTTGGCTGTGAACTCTTGTGGAACTTTACGCTGTTATTCCGAATCAATAAAAAATGATGCTGAATGTTGTTTGTATCAATTGTTTTGATTGGCCGAAACTTTCCCCACGATTTCGTAACGTTCAATACAATGCTTTATGCCACTCCTTATTGCCTGCCAGAGCTTTGTAACTGTGTCTTTTGTCTTTTTGCGTCGATTGATGCAGACATATGCAATGTGCAAGATCTCATCATTCGTGTCCATCATCATTCCAATCGATCGCTGTCAGAATATCTTGGGTCATAGTTATGACGGGGAGAGTTAGAAACATTTGAGGGACGAACAGTTTCTGTTTGTTCCCAACCCCGAATGTATGCACTGGACGTCAGGCTTTCCAACCAACCAATCAATGACTCATATTTCCAAAACACGCAATTTGCCACAAGCACTTTTAAAATACACTTCTTGTTCATCGCAGATCCCATTATGACAACATTTGCACTACGCAAAGGTCAGCTCGATATTGCTTGAGTTTACTGTACAGCCTGCTTCCAGCAGTCTAGGGTACGGTTTATTTTTATGCAAAGAACAGTCTCTTGTATCACACGGACGCAGCACTGTGGATGTCTCTCATGATGGTTGACTGCTCAACTGCAAATAAGGGAAGATATGTGGGTAGCACAAGGAATAGCATCCCTTCGAGGTCCTGATGGCCAAACAATTGCCATCAAGAAATATGGTAAGTCTTTCAATGGGCTTCATCGACCCCATTACGTACAATTTGATTATTCTATCATCCTGAACAAACGCTTACAATATTTCTTCTTCTTCCACCCTATTTATACTGTAGTTTTTGAAGCGTCCATCAATCAGTTAATCCGACATACAAGAACAGTTGAAAAACTCAAACAATGAACCAAATCGGTATATGGTGAGTTTCTCTGTTGTCAAGCATCTTCCATCTACATTCTTCATCGTGAAAGTTTAATAACTATTTGAATGAATCCTGCATCCAACTTTCATATCATGTCAAATAGTAACAATCATAATTGACAATCCACAACAATGGTCAATTAAGCCATCGCAGATTGTTGGTGCTGTTCTGGGGAAAATGGAACTATTTTGATCCAAGGTCAATCAGAAACACTTTCAACTGACAATCTAGACCAGTACTATACAAGCAAGAGAATTCTTGAGTGAGCTATCTATTTGTTTCTGCAGTGTGAATTGTATTATATTTCAGTGATGCCTCTCGATTTGATCAAAACTGAAGATCACAACCACACACAAGGAAACAAGTACTTGCTGCGGACCCCCATGTTGTTCCATTTGGATATACCTTGACAAATGATTGATACTTGGAGAACGGAGAAATGAATTGGGCCAGTCATACATGGGCGTTCAAATACCTGGTAAGAATGTCACTCTGATAAATGTTTTGGGTTAGAAAAACCAGGATTGGAAAGAAACACTATATCCTTCTCCTTTTGATCAAAGACCTTTTGATCAACGGTGGGTGCCAGATATCATTCTGCAGGTAGGTATCTATGGTAGCAGTACATGCGGTACGGTGCTACGGTCTAAAACTGGTTTCTTCTTGCAACGATGAGATTTCCGGTACGTGATACCACAATTTTTCTATGTGCGCAACAGTTATTTACATTCTTCATTTCAACTGTTTTGGATGAAGAGAGTCAACAGAATGCATAGTGCACTTATGCAACTACTACTGCTATTCACAGCAGCAGCAGCAGCAGTAGCAAATGCTTATGTAGAAGATAGGAACACAGGCACGGTGCACGGAATACCTTGGAGTAATAACTATGGGTTGAGAGCATTGTGCAGGGCTTCACCCACTTGCTCTGCTGTCAGCTGGGTAACCACGATTGATAGTCCAGCTCATGTTGTTGAAAGCCTAGACAATGTTAGTGGCTTCTGCGGCTGCTTGTGTTAGAAGTAAGCGATCCACTGCCGCCTGCAATCTACCTGTTCAATTGACTGCAATTTAGCTGTCCAGGTATTGTTGCCTTCTAAGTATATGAATTTACAGTATATAGAAGTATATAGATCTATCAGAGATCCTACTTTATCAACCAATTCACTCGTTGCTTGCAATATATTATAAAAAGTGAGAACAGTCTGTCAACTTTTGACTTTGACTCTTTCTTCTCCAGCTCAGTGGAAATTCTCAGAATTCTCTCTATGGATTTGTCCGAATTATCGTCAGATTCATCATTTTCATTCTCATTATCATCCAAATTCGCAGACATCATTGACTTGATTTTCACATTCTTTGATTTCATCTTGAATTCGGTCAATTAAATTGTCATTTTCCTCATATGTTTCGCGGGTTTCCTCGATTTGTTCTTCATCGTTAAGTGATTTGACATCTTCCTTGTCTTTTTGTATGTCTTCTTCAATTTCTTGAATCTTTTCATTTAAATCTTCATCATTCTGATATTTTTCATTTGGATTGTGATCTTGATCGGAATTATCATCATCATTTCTCCATCTCAATCGTTCATAAATACTTGTAACACTCCTGTCTTCTGTCTGTTCTTCAACATTTTTGGTGTGTTCATCGTCATAATTTTCAATAAATTCTTCCGCTTCTTCAAGTAAAGCATCAATTTCATCTTGATCAATCTTTTCATTACAAAGATTCTCATCTCTCTTCGTGTGGAATATATGTATCATCCCACAGTTCATCTGGGTCCACTCCTGCGAGCAAATCACCATCCAATATGATTTCACAATTCTTCCAATGATAAGTACGTAAATCACGATTGCCCTCGTCGTGTGCCATTTGTTCCACAATTTTGATCACTTGCTTGGTGATTGGAAGTACCGTTACATAGGGTCTTGTTACTGTCTTTTTTGTATTAAGATCAAGTAACATATGTCCCGCTTGTATGCTGTCATTCACTCCAAGATAAATACCATCAATCGTTCTTGATCATTGACTGTTGCTGGTCGTGTGACCATATCCTTGTACAAAGGATCCAATTTCAGCAACACATTCTTTTGAAAAATCTACCGGTTTTTGTCTCACAATCATATGTGGACTGTAATATTTCGAAATTCCCTCCTTTGCAGGATAAAAGTTAATAACCTTTGTCACATGCTTGAGTAAAGCAATAGTCAAAACCTTGGGAATTGCCTTGAACACCATTCCATTATAGTGTGCTCGGAATAATCCTTTCAATGTTTGATTGCTGCGCTCAATAGTTGGTTCGTGTTCGCCCGGCGCGGCATAATTCATGGTCACGTCCATATTATCTTTCACGTCATCAAATACCGGTTTGAATTTGTTGTTGCAATAAATAGTTTTGATTCGAAATTCCGCATGATTATAAATGCGTAAAATTTCGTCAATCGACTTGTAAATAGCATCTTTCGTCCGATCTTTCAGTTCAGTACTGAATCGGAATTTGATCGCTTTGTCAATGCTGACAAAAAACGCGACATTGTTGATAAACATAATGTCGATGCATAATTCCAGGTTCGAATTGTGTTTCAGTAGTTCCTTGGGCATTTCGATCCAATCATCAACCACTGTCTTCGGTGTTGGTCGCTTTTGTTTGCCCTTAATTGTTGAAACGCTCGGTCCATATATCTTTTTAGAGATCTTAACATCTTCCTCTGTAATTGGAAAATTTTTGAAAAAATTTCCCCGAATCGCCAACTTGAATAGTTCTGCACCAGGTGCCCCCATCATATGATAGCCACTTTGTGCAACATTTGCTCGTTTCACTTGTTTGTTTGTGAAACCCTCTTTGTTCTTCTCCACACTCTGTAGAG